AAATTTGTTGTTGGCTTGGCTCGCTCTTATCTATTGCGGACAGCGACACAAAGAGGACTCGGGGCGTGCATAGGCAAGCATTGCGAGTGCACTGCCGTATGCTTAGTGCTATTACAAAAACAATTGTGCTCGTGTGCCATAGGACTGAGCACCCCTGATCTACATGATCTATCTCAAATTTGGTATAAGGGTAGGTAGGGCCATAAAAACGCATTAAAAATATGAAAATAGGATCATTTTCGATCTTTAAATTAAAGAACTAACATTTCAAATTACAGACTTACAGCACATCTATCAAACGTTTAAAAGTAACCAAAGAACACTTAGGCGAACCGTCAGACATTGAAATTGAATGCATCATCATCAGCTACAAATGATCCTCCTCACCCGAAACGACAGGCAACAATCAGCGAAATATCGTAGTTAATGCAAAAATTGTTCATCTATGCAGTTATCTCAACATATACATACTGGAACACACAAAAGCCGATTAAGTAATACCATAGGTGTCTAAGTTATATCTCATTGGTTGAACAGCAAATCGAAGTGAAAGCTATAAAATCGTATTTAGAAAGCAATGTGTCCCATTCACTGACCGGAATCCGAAAATAGTTCGACCGATTTTACATAAATTCATTTCGAGATCTATGAATTTGTTGTTGTCCCCGATTGAGAATTTCAAAAAACTATGAAAATTACGAGTATGTTCTATTAAATAAAAAAACAACTCTATATACTCAAACTATTTAACGGATGACCGAGAAGAGTATAATTTTTAAATGTTAAGTTTACTTTGGTTTTTAAATTAGTCCAATGATTAATGGAGTCTTTCCGGTTTTAAATTTGTTTTTCAATCGTTGAAGGATTACTAGTGAATAATATTACTGACTAATGAATATATAAACAAAGCAAAGAACGTAAAGGCATCTTAAACTGTTATGTAAATTATTTATTATGTTTAAATTATTGAGCATTACGTACTTAACTGTGTAAGTATAAATCTATGTGTGTTTAAATAAAATGGACATGGCAGACATATTAACAGGAGGGCAGGAAGCGAAATCATAAAAAATATATATTATATATAAATATTATGTATAACCCTTGCATAGACTAACAGAATCAGACGAATAAGTAGAAGGGAAACCAGAACAACCCGAAAACCAAAAGCAAATAACAAAAGTTAAACTTTGAAGCGTGATTTCAACGGAATATATCATCAGTTTAAACTTTAAAAAATATCGAACATTTTGCACAATGGATCAGATTGGAATATTCTTTTAGTTTGACTTGGTTTACAATAAATTAGGAAAAATATGGCTCAGTTCAGGAAAGGTTTCCATTTAAACTTAGTTTTTCTTTTGAAATGCTTAACATTTTCGTTCGACTTAAAACAGTCTTTTTTGTAGCTTCTTCTTCTCAAATCTTAAGGTTTCTACAACTGTCTATGAATATTTTTTTTCATTTCCGATATTACCACATTCCTTTATTTATAAATCATATTAGGACCTAATGAAAATATACATACTAACTAAATGATTATGGCAAAATGTTAAAACAGAAAAAGAAATATTAAGAACAATAATAGTTATTACTATTTATATTATATTCAAGTATATGACATCTAAACAATATACATTTATATAAACTTAAAAAAACATTGTGCTCTTGTTGCACAAGCCTACTAAGAATTTGGGATTTTTAATATGGAAAAGCGGCGGCAACAAAAACTTCTACCTACCTAAAAACACAAATTAGCTAATTAAGCTAAAAAACTCTCAAGAGCAGAGCATTCCGATATAAAGAAATCGAAATCGAGACAGAGGAATAACAATGAGCCATGATTTTCTGATTTTTTCCATATTGAAAGTAAATGAAATTCAACTAATACATTAGATGTTTTTGTCCTGTAAATGGTATATTATAATGATAATGATAAAGCGTAGTTAGGGATCGTGTATCCCCTGTACACACACTTACACAGTTGTAGTTATGTTCACCGAAGCAAGAGAAATGCATAAGAATACACAAAGAACAAAGAATGCAACCTTACAAATCGAAAAAAATACCAAAAATATTTATGTAATATAATTCATCTAAATTTAACAAATCGACGTGGACGCCAGGAAAAACAAGTTATACAACTTATTACGAGTATTGTTCAATAAAAAATAAATAACTTTGCTTTTCCAAATAATTACTGTAAATTATCTCAAACCCAAAAACAGCAACAAAAGACAAGGACACACAAAAAACACATATGTATTAAACAAATGGTAAATTACGAACAGAAATCGAAGCCTAACCACAACAGCAACAAAATGAAACAAACAAGACAACAAACTATATATACTTGCATATTAAACAAATTATATGAAATTATATAAAATGATGTTGATTATTGATTTAAATTAAAACTGAGAAAGTGAATAAAACAAATTATATATACACCTATATATATAAATATTAAACAAAACAAAGCAAAAATTTTATTTGTGTTTTCCTTTTAGTTGGTACAAACATATTTATTTACACAGCGTTACACTGAGCCAAACGACGTGTAAGTGTTAGCCCAAAACGACATGTACATACACACAGCCGACACCCACACAGCCACATGACAACACCCACACTGAGCCACCCACGAACTGACCAAAAGCAAGTCGAAAACATGAATGTATTATAATGAATACACAGAGTTGTGTGTAAAATAACCGTTAGTTATGTAATTATATTATTTTCAAAAACGTTCTCAAAGCAAGCAGAATGCAGCGCATAGCCCATCACAAAAGCACAAATCAGTAGAGGAAATCAGAGTGGACGGAAGTCAAATGAGGAGTTACAAATAAATAAGAAACTAATAAATAGGTCTCAGAAAATTAATGCAAGAAACAACAAAAATAATGTAGCTGTCCATGTACTTTTATTTTCTAGATATGTATGTATGTAATTATATTCGATAAATCAGGCATTATGCATTTAACAACCAGACAAAAGCATGATAACGGAACTAGGGTTCACAATCGAAGAAGATCAAAAGATCAGGATCGATCATCCTACCATTCACCATAGTTATAGCCCGATTCCACTGTCAAAATCTTAATTGAAAAGGCATCTGGACTAATTTGCGAATGAAAATGTATCTCTGGAATCGGGGTATTATACATACATATAGAGCGCACCTGAGGGAACGATCGAGTAGCGAGTAATGAAAATGAGTAACGACAAATACAAGATATTGAAATATGCGTTATAGGTTCAACGGACCCAAGATATAGGACAATGTTTGATGTTGATATGAGTTAATCTGGCCACCTAGAGTGCGCATTATACACTCAAAAAAAATTTTTAGAAAATCGCCTATGGATTTGCTTTACTGGCGATTTTTTTCTATATTTCTGGAATATTTCTTGAATTTAATGAATTTTGATTAATTGGAAGAAAATTTTCTTTACCAGTAGAAAATTTTTTTATTTTAAAGAAAAAATCGCCAGTGAAGCAAATCCATAGGCATTTTCTAAAATTCATTTTTTTGAGTGTATGCATAGATACGGTACATACATACATAATGCAGAAGATAAGCCCTCTGATGGGATCATTTTATATACCCAGACCGGATGAGCGGATGACCGGATGAGGGCGGGAAACATTATACATAACCATTGACAGCACCGCATAGTATGAACACAGCATACGGTATACATATGAATATCCACATAACCAAGCGATATATACACGGACATAAGGTCCACATACTTCTCCCAGGAAATCTCCATCCTTCGGTTCAGATCCAGACTCTATATACCCACAAATACACTCTCATCCAGCACTTACACTCGCGGATATAATTTTATGACTCTTTCCGGAGTTTTGTTGTTTACGATAAACTGTTTATAGCTGTTTTTGAATTTTAAATAAATTATATTTACTATATGGCAAAACAAAGAATACCACTAAAGCAAAACCATATATGATAGTAATATATGTTTTAAATGCTATTACCAAACGAATCTTAAATTGAGGCTTTGCAAGCAGAGTTGCAAGCGAAAGAATATTATTGAATAAACTGCATATATATATACATACTATAATGCAACTGTATTGAAAGACAAGCATAGCATTTTATTTCCGAGGCAAAAAAGAATTTAACAAACTACACAAACACGAACTCTGACACCTGTGTACGGTTAGCGGTAATCGCAGGTGAGCCCAAGGGCCACAACAAGATTTTGCAACAACCGTACCCCCAACATCAAAAAGCCCCAAAGCAACAGCAACAGATAGATGATCTATGTAAATCACTAGCGATGTGAAAGACACAGATATACACAGATACACAAGAACTAACATATGTGAAATGAAACGAGGAATGTTTATAAACAATAAACAAATGTTTGAAAACTAAAAAGTCCTGCTTTTAATTCTTTAACTCTGGTATTTCAGAAAGCTTATTGCCTTATCGCACTTAACGGGAAAAACAATTCCGAACAACTGAGGTCGGATTAATAGCCGAGTTCATATAATATGCTTATTCTTCAATTTAAAAGTATACAAATTTTATGAGTATATGAGATAATACTTTCAAATTTACTTTTATTTTTTCATTGCATTCAACATTCTCCTTGCATTTTAGTAACTTACTCAAGATAACAAGACTTAAATGCTATACTCATGACCGCATCTGTAGCTATATATACAAATAAAATTATGTTGTTAATCTCAAACCAAATTTTAGCGTACGTCGACATATTTCAAAGCCAGAAAGTTCTTATCAACTTGTGGCTTGAGCTCCATACAAAATTAGTTTTAAATCTGCGTCCAAGGGTAGCGGATGTGTTTTTTTTTTTTAATTGGTGGAACGGATCGAATTATTCGATACGCTTCCGCATTATCGATAGCACCGATAGACTGTGCTTTGTGTTTAATTGGTGAAATTGAATTGGATTGAAATATTTTAAAGAAAAGCCTACTTGCTTCGATTAACGCCAGGAAATTACCAATGCCATTTATAATGAGACCAACTGAAATCATCTTGGAATTAATAATAATATAATTTAGTAAACTAATTATAACTGAGCAGGCGAGGATCTAATAATTAACTGGCCTAGACATGCACATTGCATAGTAGCACTAAACTACATATAAGGCACTACAGCGTTAAACAATAAAAAACGGAAATAAGGATATGAAACAAAACCAGCAACATCTCAAGGATGTGTCCACGGTTCGCATCCTGATGCTGGGCGATAGAGGTGGGATAATTTGAATACGATAATTGGATAATGTTAATTAAATTCGTATTTCCAGGAGTTGGGAAAACTAGTCTGACCAATTTGCTGGCCAGCAGTGAAATAACGCCCACTCCCGCCTCCCGAACCGTGGGCGAGGGATCCTGGAATGTCCAGGTGCGGCTGCACGAGTACCCAAACTTAATGGACCTGCCGCCCACGCCCTCCTGGACTTCGCCCTCCTCCTCGGAGCGCTCAGATAAATTCCCGGATCCCCCATTCGCGCCCTCCGGCAGTGATACCCTGTACTTTGTGGAGTTCTACGATCTGAACAGCGATCTGCGCATGCGGCGCGAGCAGCGCGATAATTTCTATAAGAACATCGATGGCATTGTCCTGGTCTACAATCTGCAGGACCTGCGCTCGCAGGACAATCTGCACGATTGGCTGTACGATCCGTTGCGTCAGATTTGCAAGCATCGCCACCGGCGCATGCGTCCCATTTTGAGGCGCCAACATGTTCCGATCCTGGTCGTGGGCACCAGGTTGGACAAGCTGCGCCTGCGGCCATTGCGTCGCGTTGGGGGCATAGCCCACCAGTTGGCCGCCGACGAGATCCTCCTCAACTGCCTGGATCCCGAGAGTTTCGCGGACAGGAGCCGCAATCAGGGCAAATTGCGCGGCTTCCTCAATCGCGTCGTCGAGTTCAAGGAGCTTTTTCCACTCTCACCTACCCGCCGGCCTTAAACAGATCTCAGTTTATATTTTCTAGTTCCATGTTGACCTTTAATAATACCTATTTATGAAAATAATTTTTTGTTAAATTCTGGTTTTCTAGCAGATGGTAAGCTTTTTGAGTTTTCTTCCCCGTTGTTTTTAGCTATCAAGGGTATCATAGGTTAATTTTAGAAGTATCTTAGGTTTTTGAATAAAGTTACTATTGGCAGTAAAGTTCTTAAAATTATTGTGTACTTTTAATACTATTTATACAATTTAGTGGAGATTTTCGTGTTGGTAAGTAATTTACATGCTAGGTAGATATGATCATTAGCAATTATTTGAGCCATTTTAAAGCAGTAAACACAAATGGAATTGACTTTTTCTTTTTACATTATTATTATATTTTAATATTTCTCTATTTTTAATAGAAATAGGTAGATATGATCATTAACAATTATTTAAGCCATACCCATTTTAAATTGTGAAAGTCGTTTTCTTTTTACATTATTTATTTTAATATTTCTCTTGGAGTTTTTTTAAACCCTTGGGGGTTAGTATCATCTGGATTTCATAGGATGTTTCTTATCCTGGAGGCCACTGCATCTGGCGACCGCCGAGGAAGTGCAAATGCAAGTGGTAAACGGACTGGGCACCGTGCTTGCCATTGTTGATGACCACACGGTATCCCTTCCTGCAGACCCAGATCCTTGGCCACCTTGCGACCCACCAACATGAGATGTCCCAGGCAGATCAGCATCTCCATCCTCCGCCAGCGAAAGTTGAGCGATGGGCTTGCGAGGAATCACCAGGAAATGGGTTGGTGCCTGGGGAGCCACATCATGGAAGGCCACGCACTAAAGAGGGTATATAGATAATGCCAGCTACCTATCTATTGGCATATCAGACCTTGATCTCACCTTGTCATCCTCGTGGATAAAAGTGCATGGAATCTCCTTGCGCAAAATCTTGCCAAAAATAGTATCTTCACTGGCAGCAGCCGTTTGCGATTTTTCCACTTCGCTGGCCATTCTAGCAGTGCAGGTTGCTATTTGGCGAGAACTGTGCAAATAATATATAGTATTTAATCGCTGCAGTTTAGATAATTAAGTGGAAATGGCGTGCTTACCTGAAAACACGAAAAAAGTTCCGGCCGGTCAGGAACATCGAAAAAGCGCTGCCAACTGGGGTTTTAAAAAATCCAATGACGGGCCAATTTTAGGGTATTTTAAGGCTCACAATTGCGTTTGTTAAAAATGTTATTTATTATTATTAAAAATAGAAAATATTACAGGGCTATAACAGAGTAAAAGAAACTAGTATAGTTCTCTAAAAATTAAGCTTTGGACACCTAACAACGATCCTAATCAGGAAAAATACTCAAATGGACTTTGGACCCGGCTGCAGCATATGGAATCATAAAGATCATTAAACCAGAAATACCACTCTCCGCTCAACAAGAAGATCCAGTTCCTTCGTGGCAATATTTTTGTGATAACTCGGCGATATCATCTTGAGAATCCGAAGGAGAAATCAGCTCTTTGTGACGTAATGTCGCCTTTCTCCTTATCGCAATAGTATGCCCCAAGATTAGTTCACAACTATCGGCTAGGTGCAAATTCCAATAATCCACTTGATTTACTAGAGCAAAGGAAACTCTACTAGTTCCAAAATTGAGCAGCTGAAGGTGAAGAGTAACCCAGAGCGCCATGACCACCACTGAAAATGTCTCCGCTGAGCGCAAGGCCAATCCTGTGAAATCCTTCCTGACCGGAGGATTCGGAGGCATCTGCAATGTGCTCTCAGGTCATCCGCTGGACACGATTAAGGTGCGTCTGCAGACGATGCCCCGGCCGGCGCCCGGCGAGAGTCCCATGTACAGGGGAACCTTCGATTGTGCCGCCAAGACCATCAAGAACGAGGGAGTCCGCGGGCTGTACAAGGGAATGTCGGCTCCTTTGACCGGAGTGGCACCCATCTTTGCCATGTGCTTCGCTGGCTACGCGCTGGGCAAGCGCCTCCAGCAGCGCGGCGAGGACGCCAAGCTCACCTACTCGCAAATCTTCGTGGCCGGCTCCTTCTCCGGCCTGTTCTCCACCCTGATCATGGCGCCCGGAGAGCGGATTAAAGTCCTTCTGCAGACGCAACAGGGTCAGGGAGGCCAGCGCAAGTACAACGGCATGATCGATTGCGCAGGGAAGCTCTACAAAGAGGGAGGACTCCGCAGCGTTTTCAAGGGCAGCTGTGCCACAATGCTCAGGGATCTGCCCGCCAACGGCCTGTACTTCCTCGTCTACGAAGCTCTGCAGGATGTGGCCAAGGCCAAGTCCGAGACGGGACAAATTAGTACTACCTCAACGATTTTGGCTGGCGGAGCTGCCGGCATGGCGTACTGGATTCTGGGAATGCCAGCCGATGTCCTCAAGAGTCGTCTGCAATCGGCGCCGGAGGGCACTTACAAACACGGAATTCGTAGTGTCTTTAAGGATCTGATTGTTAAGGATGGTCCTTTGGCCTTGTATCGCGGCGTTACGCCCATCATGATCCGTGCCTTCCCGGCCAACGCTGCCTGTTTCTTTGGCATTGAGCTGGCCAACCAGTTCTTTAACATTGTGGCGCCAAATTTCTAGTGAAATAAATTTAGTGACTCACTAAAGTGTTCTTAAATCTTGAAAGAGATTATATCTATTAAACTGAGGGAAATGTTATGATTATAACTAAACTTAAACGAAATATTGTGGCTTGCGCATGGTGATGCCATGATCGGCGAGAGCGGGAACCAAATCCTCCATGGCCAGCGTGTACTTGCGATCCTTGGGGTTCTTCTTGTCCTTGCTGGAGCTGTGCCCGCTGGAGTGCTGGATGTTCGTGGTGCGCGTCTTGCAGTGCTGCAGTGCATCGTTGGCAATGTCGGAGATGAACTTCTGGGCGGACACCGAGATGAGGCGCACTATTTGGGGGTCCACGGTGGAGAAGCCAGCCTGTAGAAGGATTAGACAATCAGTAGTTAATAGTTCCCAGGTTATTCCCTATCAAATAGCTACCGATTTCAGGGCATTCATGGTCAGGGCATCCGGAATAGTGGGCGTGTAATCCTCCAGTTGTCGCAGCAGCTCATCCATATCCGCTTCTTCCGGCCGTCGCTGGCACCTCCTCCACTTCCAGTTGCTCTTCCTCATCGGAATCCAGGTCGGAGTGCACTTGTGGTGGCTCCATCTCCTCATCCTCGGTGTCCGTGGCCGAGGCCAAGGATTCCGCGGGTGTTACGTTGATGTCCTCGCCATCAGAAGCCATTGTTTTGCGATTATTAGTGGTTTATTTCAAGAAAAATGAAATTGTTTTTATTTTTGTTGGCTTTGTGTATGTGTATTGTTATCGATAATGCACGGGAACATCGATAGCAAGGCAAAATCTCGAACAATCGAACATGGGCGTAGGCAGAACTATTTTCTAAAGGGGTGATTTTTAAAAATGGATTTTTAAGGTGTTGTATTTAAATGTGGGGATATATTTTGTAATATTTTTTTGGAAACCATCATTAGGTTTAATTTATTAATTTATATTTTAAGCACAAAAAGATAACGGGTAACAGCTGCCCATGCCTCTTCCTATCGATAAAAACCTAGTACCGTTAACGATAACTTTTTCTGTGGCTTGCAAATTATTTTCTTTTCTGTTTACAATGGTGGGCTCCAATTTCGGAATTATTTACCACAACTCCGCTGGCGGCGGCAGCCAGGGAAACCATGGACAATCCTCCGGAGGCGTCGGTGGAGGAGATCGGGACAGGAACACACCGGCTTCGCATCTCAGCGACTTTATGTCGCAGCTGGAGGACTACACCCCGTTGATTCCGGATGCGGTGACCTCGCACTATCTGAATATGGGCGGCTTCCAGTCGGACGACAAGCGCATTGTCCGCCTAATCAGCCTGGCCGCCCAGAAGTACATGTCCGACATCATCGACGATGCCACTGCAGCACTCCAAGGCAAGGACCCATCTGCAGACGACCAATACGCCGGGAGGATCAAAGGCCAAGGATCGCAAGTTCACCCTGACCATGGAGGATCTGCAGCCCGCTCTGGCCGACTACGGCATTAATGTTAGGAAAATGGACTATAGTCAGTAGTTAAAGGCTTACTTATGCCATAAATTAGTACTAGAACTTTTTTCTCAAATAAATAGAGCTTGTCTTAAAACAAAATGTAAATCTATCTACGATTTTGATGATACCGACAGCTACATTTGTAGTCAAATGGTTTTACAACAATTATAATGATAGTCAGAGATCTATTGTTACATTTGTATTTTCAAAGAATCCTTTAAATAGTAAGGGTTCAAGTCCATAGATAGTATTACATTTCGAGCATATACAAGTTATTTCTTTATTTTAAATATGGTTATCCAAAGGCTATAAACTAGGTGGCTATTACTATTCGCTTGTTCATTGGCATGTTATGAACTTCCTGAAGCTGCGCGATGTCCCGCCAGCCACTCTGAAAGCCAAAACGCCCGTGAATATGGTGACTATGTAGCTGATCAGCAGGGTGGCGGTATAAAGCTCGTTGGCATTGAGCAGGGTAATCAGGGACACAAACAGGTGGCTGCCCACCACATAGCCTATGTGGATATAGTTGTTCGTGTCGAAGGCATTGAAGAAAATGACGCTCCAGAAGGTGTGCAGCAGGATGATGGACAGAGCCTGGGCAGCCGAGGTGACGAAGAACAGCTCCGTTCCGCTCTTCAGGCCCATGGTTCCGGGACCGCTCTAAAAATCGGAATACATTATCTTCAGAACATACTGTGCAAGCAAGCCCACTCACCATATCAGCCAGCACATTGACCAGTGCAAACATCCCCGATATAATGCCGAATCCCAGACCGGAAACATAGGCCAGGATGTGCTTGTTGTCCGTCACTCTGGTGTCCTCCGCCACGGCATGCAATCCTTGCTCGGTGCTGCGCAGGATCCTGTAGATGATGTACCGGAAGGCCTCCTGGAGGACAACCGAGAAGACCACGCCGCAGGCAATGTTTGGGATCACGGCGTACCACAAGGAGGAGATTAGAAGCGACAGCAGCCAGAAGAAGGCCGCCGCAATCAGGATTATTATCCGCACCGGGTCATTGGCGATGGTAAAGACGAACAGGGCGAAGGGCGGTCCGAAGGCGATGAAGGTGCAGCCAAAGAACTCGGGCAACGTCATCTTTTCTTTGTAATATTCCTGGTCTTTTTGCTTGGATTGTATTTTATTGTGGGTGTTTTGGTTTACGTGGGAAGAGGAAGCAGAAAGTGACAAGCGAGCCACGAGCTGCCAGACTGTTGCAGTGCTGCCAGGAATGCCATATTGTCGAGTTTCGGTGTAAATATACCCTACACTGTGCAGGTAGTTTTGTTTATAGGTAAACAACGTTTTAAACTAACTTATTTTAACTAACAGAAATTATGCTAATTTAATTTAATTTACAGTCAGAAACAAGTGACCGAGATATTTTCTTAAACTACGCAGAAATTATACAAAATATATAAAGGGTGACAGCTAGTCGCATAAGTCATTTTAATAGTTTTTTAGGTTGCCAGATCGTGAAACAGCAATGTTTTCATACCCTACGGCGTAGAGTCCGTTTTATTTTAAAAACAACTTGTTGCAGTTGTTTAATTATATAAACAGTAAATATTTAAGAACACAATGTAGGTTAATGTAATAAAACTATGTTGAATTTAATGATCTGTTTAAAATAACATTTGCTTGCCAGGATTTACATTTCTTTCCATATTCTTCAACTAACTCCCCCGCGTAGGGTGTTCGAAAAGTCGCCTATGTGCGTTTCACCCGCACTAAACAAAGGCCCTCCGTCCCACTTGCAATATTTTTGTTTGGGGCGGGATTAGTCACTGTAAATTGACTCAACTCGGCCGCACTATGCCAACCGCATAATCCGCCGTAAACCAGAAGCGAATTGCAAGTGCCCAGCAGCGGATCGAAAACAGAAGCCCAGCGGAAAAAAGCACAAAGAGATCCAGAGACCCCATATGCCCAGTGAGTAAAGTGTAACCCCAAATTAGCATTTCTCCGGTGATTGATTTCGGTGGTCATTTCATTTCCAGTTCACGCCATCATGGCCAAGCGCCTGTTGCCCCACCAACCGTCATACGAAGGGGAGGCCCCTGGTCCAGATGAACTGGACAGCCCAGCCATTGAGGCGGCGGCCCTCGACATTCCCCCGCCCGAATCTGATAAGGCGCTCCAAAAGGGTTCGTACAATCATAATCTCCCGTAACTACATAACATAACACTGTAACCCAAACCCCCAAGTCGAGTCATATATCATATCTTTAGGATACTTTCGACAGTCTTACGTATCATCTCATTTTCATATTCGGAGAAAATAAAAACAATCATTGTGAGTACGCCACAGTGGAACCTCACAAAGGTGAATTTTTATATCTGCGGAAAAGTTTAGATCACTAGTAAAATTGTTGCTAAATACATATGTACATCAAATTGAGATTCTCAATGTTTAGTAGAAAAAACAATTTTTTAAGGTAAAGTGAAAAAGCTATAAAATATTTGAAATTTTTATATGAATAGAATTCTCTTAGGACAGAAAAATAAGTATGCCATGAAATTTCTGATTTGTTTAATTAAATTCTATGTGAAATAAATTGAATGTTGTTCTAATTCATTACGAATTGAATGAATCGAATGAATTCTTTTATGAATTTTTTGAATTTTCCAGTTTTTTTTTGTGTTTTCTTTTGAGAACAAAAAGTGGAAAATTTTTAACAAATCAATGTTAACTGTAAATAGTAAATAAAATTCAGGCAGATTTAATTACAAAAGATTATGGCCCTTTCTTTTTCAAAATAAATTGTCGTTTGAATTATTTCGGAATTCATGCCATTCATTCATTCAATTCTATTAAACTCAAAATTCTAATTAATTCATTCATATAAAAGAAAAAATTCAAAATAATTCATTGAATCCATTCATGCAGGGCTCTAATATGTATAGCAAATAAAATATATTTTTGTACCTTTTAGGTGTCTGGGAGCGACCAACAACTAGCGCCGAGTACAAGCCGCCCACCGATGGGAGCACCGTGCTGCGATTCGACATCCTGCTGGCCCGCATTATGCCCCCCGATGGCGAGGATCCGAAGATCAAGCGCTTTGTGGTGTATGAACTCACCGTGCGGCAGGATGGCGTCACTGAGGACACTCAGACGGCGAAGATCGAACGTCGTTACACGGACTTTCGAGAACTTTATCTGGGCCTGAAGCGTCTGCATCCCGCCGAGATGGCCAACAAGTATTTCCCAGCCAAGGTCCTCATGGGTAACTTCAAATCTGAGCTAATTGGCGAACGGAGCGCGGCCTTCGAAGCGTTTCTCACCTATGTGGCCAGTCAGACGAAGCTGCGGGACTCGGAGGACTTTCTGCGCTTCCTGCAGCACGACGAACTGACCAGAGCGTGCCAGTTTCTTGGATGAGCGGCGCAATGAGATGGCCATTCCAATCCTGGAGAACTGCTTTCGGTTGCTGAACAAGATATACATGAATCGATCGCGACCGGTGCTCTTGATTCTCTGCCGCCTGGTGGCGGCCTGCACATCCTCCCCAGTGCCTCACCACGCGGCCGAGAGGTGGGCCCTGGTGGCCCTGAGTCGTTTTGAGACGCTCTGCGATATTGATCTGCTGCCTCTCTACATTCCCCTGCTCCACACCTGTGCACACCTCTGGTGAGTCCTTCTAAATCATAAAAAATTAAGAAATTTATAAGTATAATCCTTATCCTTTCAGGTGGCAGCGCGGCCAGGACCAAAAGCCCATCACCGACCGACTGACTGACATGTCCAAGCAGGGCATCAATACCGCCAACACCGAAAACCTAATGCAGGCTATTCACAAAGATCGATCCACGCACCGAAACCATTTGAATGGGAATCTCCACCAGAATTATCATCCATTAGTTCAGCATTTTGTTCCGTAGTTTTTAGCCGTCGAGCGTAAAGTGCAATTAGAGAACGTGTGCAATTAGTATTAAGGTGAAAGGAGTATTTATCAACCTTTAGGGTCTCAGCTATTTTTAAAAATGCTGTTCTCCAAAGTAGTTCGTTTACGAATTATCCATGGGAGTCCCAAAAAAAAAAAGCCAATATTTTTTTACAAATATGTTTTTCTGTTAAATGTTTAATTTGATATTTCTAGCCTGTGATTTTCAAACTCAAATGTTCAATATTTTATTTTTTCGTAAATTTATAATCTCTTGTCTACATTTATAGCTAATAATAATATTGCGACTATGTTAACCGAAATAAGAAAATCAGTATCCGTAACGTCCTACTTTGGTAACTTAAAGGTTAGTCTAAGCGTGTTTATGTTTCGAATTACGTATTGTTTGATATTGTTCAATCGTCTCGTTAGTTGTGATTAAGCCATGCACTATTTCCCCGCCCTAAAGTGAATCACAAATGTAGTATCGAAAGCCAATGACGCACTGTCTGCAAATCCAAGATTAGAACTCCATATCAGCCTGGCAAAACACATCGAACAAATCAAACACAGCTCCCATAGTTATTTATTCTTACAGCCCAATGCCTTGTGATTGCTTTTTTCAATGAATAAATATTATACTCGATTGTTTTCCAGAATAGAAAACGTTGTCCGTCAGGTTTGGTCATTTAAAACTAAATGGTATATATATTTAATGGTTGGTTTTTTGCTTATGCCTGTTTTCTGAGTCATTTGGGGGTTTAAACTTAGGCCTAGGAGTGCTCTATTAGTTAACTTATAGCTATCTGCCGTGAGGATCTCTTGACCGCACTCAAAATGTACAATACGAATTAGATATATAACTTATTACGTCACACAATCGATTCAACTATAATATAAATAGAGGGGTACGTGCGTTTTTAACAAATTGTTAGCGCCCTTGCAACATTACATACATCATTTGAAATGTACAAAATTAAACAGCAGTTCCAGCTTCCATCTGATCAACGGAAGAGTCGCGTAAAGGTTTTCAAGGCTTGCGAAATTGCTTTCGTGGTGTCCGCTCTGCAAAGGGTATACAAAATGCATAAGAAATAATTAAAAAAATATAAAAAGGTAGACCTACCTCAGCACCTGTGCTGCTGAACTCGTCCAACTGTTGTTGCGTGGCCGTCACATAGCCACCGCTGTTCTTCTTGGGCATTGCCTCCAGCGCCTGGGCCAAAAACGGTTGCATCCGCTCATTGCCCACCACCTGCTTCAGTTCGTGGATGACCTCGGCCACATCTACCAGCATGTAGGAGTGCAGTTGGAAGACCGAAGCCTGGATCAAGTTCATCACCAGGGCGCCGCCATGCTGGTTGGCCAGCTCCACCACCAACGGACGACACTCGACATTTCGGCTGTGGCTGTTTGTCCTGCCCCAAACCAAGAGGTTAATAAAGAACTTCATCACCGAGGAGTTGGCTTCGCGGTGGTCCAGCGAGCAGGCAATCAAAGGCACACTGGAAGATCGGCGTGATGAGGCTGCTCTGGAGCAGCTGCTGCGGACAGCAGTCCAAGTAACGCGAGGCCAAGCGGAAGAAGTCGTCCACGGTATCGGGATTGTTCTTAAGCCCATTCTCCATCTGCAGCAGGCCAAAGGTGGGTTCGATAAAGGCCTGCAGCATCTCCAGCAGTCCGCCAATGCACTCGCTCGACTTGGCAAACTCATCCACCAGAATGGAGCCCACGTAGAGGAAACAACTGTGATGCTGCACCGCATATAGCACCACCATTTGCTTGATCAGTGGCTCCACCAGCAGCATCGCTTGCTTGCGCACCATCCGAATGCCGTAGCGGATCAGGCGACAGGTGCGCTCCATGATGCGCAGGTCGCTCTGGTACTTGTCCATCACCCGCGAGATCAGCTGCCAGGCGTCGTTCAGAATGGCCACCGTGGGATGCTCCACGGTGTCGGGAACATCGGGATTCGTGTGCCGGATGATGGCGCAGGCTCTGTCTATCCAGTAAACGGGATCGGTGCGCTCTCCCTTCTGAACACTGGCCGCACTACTGTCCACCAGCTGGGCCAGCGGTTGCAGCTGGAAGCCCACGATTTCCCGCAGAGCAGGCTGCAGTTGCTCCCGCGGCAGGCGGGTCAGTATGAGGGAAATCCCCTTCAGCAATCCAATGGCCACATCGTTGTTAATCTGAAAGCTATCGAGGCTGCGGGCGATCTCTACGAGACCGCTAATGTGGCACACCATCTTCTGGCGGCAGGCGGAGCAAATGGAGGTCAATGCCATGGCTGCAGCCGGGGCCAAGCCATTCTTCTGCTGCAGAGCGTAGAGCAGAAAGTTGAGCACCGCCTCCAAGGACTCTGCGTGGTTCTCAATCCAGTCGCACAACTCGCCGATCAGCAGGATGGCGGTGTATCTCACCGCTATGTGAGTTTGCTCCGACATATTTAGGATGGCTTCCACCACTTTGGGGATCACCTCGTTTTCATCTCTGCTGGGTGAAGGGTAATATTTTTAATCTAATATTATCAGATAGAGTTCTGTACCTACGGCAGTATATTTTTGGCCACATTTTGCATTATAAAGAGCGCCGCCTCTGTCGATTCCCACGTAGTTTCCGGTGCTTGCAGGATGTGGAACATTTGCTTGAAGCACGCTCCAGATCCCACTATAAAGGCCACGTCTTTTATCAGATCCGAGACCTTGCGTCTAAAGTCCTGAAGGGATAAAATGGGTAAATTAATATTGAATGTAAATTGATTTAAATTAACTGACTAAATTGCTATTCAGTTACTTTATCTTCCCTTTTTGAGAAATCTAATTCATTTCGAATTTAATAAATGAATGAATAATTTTTATGAATTTTTTGAATTTGCCAGACCTTTTTTGTGCTTTCTCTTGAGAAGAAAAAGTTTAAAATTTTTAAGAAATCAATGTTAATTGCTTAGTAAACAACATTCAAGCCGATTTAATCACAAAATTATGAGCCTTTGTTCTTCAAAAGAAATTGTCGTTTCAATTATTTCAGAATTCATTTAAATTCATTCAATTCTATTAAACTCAAAATTCTAATTAATTCATTCATATACAACAAAAATTCCAAAATAATTCTTGAATCCATTCATGCTGGGCTCTAATAGAAACCGGTTTTACTAAGCAATGGCTGAGGTATTATAATCATTAAAAATTTTACAATCTTGTGAAATTTAAAGCTTTGTAATTGTAGACATAAAAGTACTATGAAAAAATAAAAATAACTATCTTAGAAAACATTTTCCTTTAAGAAATTCCTATGCCTATTAATCATAGTAATCCTATAAACTCACAAAGAAATTGTTGTTCTCCTCGATGAGTCCATCCTGGTCGCTTTCCATCTGCGAGTGGCGAAACAGGGCGCTTATCAGCCGCTCGATGTGCGGACGGAAGAGCGCCGTCAGCTTGTCCTCGTTGCGCTGGAAGAGATCCTCGCTGAGCTTGTACCACAGGTGGAAGGTGATCTCGGCCACCTCGTAATCAAAGTGTCCGACGCACAATAGCACCAGATCCAATCCTTTCAAGCAGTAGTGCGGCTTCTGGGGATCGGCGAGCAGATCGTAAAAGAAGGCATCACATAGCGAGGTAAAGATCCTGCAGTAATTGATCGTCTTATCGGTGTCCTCGTGCGCCACACTCAAGTGATAGGGCGTCTCCAGCATGCAGACGGCTCCGAAGATCTGTGCCTCCACGGAGGACTCCGAATCGCTGGCCGCATCCTGGCGCGTGTTCATGCAGGAGAGCAGAGCGCACACACACTCGGTGGCATTGTCGTGCAGCTTGCCCGTCGTTTCCGGCAGCGAGAGCAACCGGAAGGCTAGCTGCGTAAGGGCATTATTATACACATGCGAGACGGGAAAGGCGTGGATCACCAGCCAGGCACTGTAGGTGCGCAACGCAGCATTCCACACACGCTGCTGGTCGAGATCCTCCCGCTGCAGGCACATGCACAGGAACTTCAGGACGCACTCGGCGCTGGCGTCCAGCTGCTTGTGCACCTCCTCCCGCCGATTGGCGCCCAGTCGCAGATACCGCGAGTCTATTTCCTCGGGCAGCACCTTCAGCACCTCCAGCAAAGGCCAAATGGCGGCGGGATGGGGGGCCAAAGTAACCAGGAGATCGTTGATAGGCTCCTGCCAGCTGGCCATCAGAAGGGCCAGATCAGCCACCGCCAAGCTGAGCTGCGTCACAATTACATTGTCCGTCTGCTCGTCAATCTGGCCGATGTGCGTGATCAGGGAATCCCTCAGAGATTCGTGCGTGTGCGGGGGCAGTTCGCTGAAGGAGTTCTGGATCTTGTTCCGCATCGTCTGGGCGGCAAAGTAGTTGGCGTGCAGATCTCGCTTCTGGTGCAGCAGCTCGTCGGCAATCGTCCACGAGTATATCTGTATATATATCAGCATAAATTAGCAATGAAAAGGAGAAATATATAATACACCGGGCCACCCGCACTCACCGACTTCTGGAAGTCCTGCAGCCATTTGTTGGCCTTCTCCTGCTCCTTGGGGTTGTTGCCCTGGAAGAGGGCACTGATCGCTTGGTACACCACGTCCACCGAGTACGTATCCATCTCATCGGCAGCTATAGACAGCGCATAAATTCAATTTTCTTCAATTATTATTATATTTTTTAGCGATGGCTGAATGCGTACATCCCGTGCAGTGTAGTGTATCGATAATGGTTAACGTGCGATAGCTTAGAGATGCGCCCGATAGTCGCCAGGGTTGTCGACTGCTTTAAATACCGATTATTGCTAGTTTAGTTCAAAAATATTCTGTTTTTGGAAGCCACCCTACTATACTTCTTAATTTAAAAAAAATGCATAAAATATAAATAATAAATAAATAAATAAAATAGCCCAGTATGCTAATTTTCTTGTGTTTAAATTAACAAAATCCTCTATTTATTGAATTTCAATTTTTTTACTTATAATTATTTTAAATAATAATTAAAATTTTTATTAATATTAGCAAAAAAAAAGGATACATATTAAGTGTAAGTAATGTATAAATTAATAAATGAAACAGACCAGTATGCAAATCTATTTTTTATGTTAGAATAGAAAAACTTCCGTTATTTATTGTAGCTCAAATTGTTTTAAAATCATAATTATTTTAAATCATTTTTATTAAATTAAAGAAAAGTTAAATAATTTCCAGCGAAACTCTAAACGATATATCGATACCATCGCTGGTTTCCAAGAGCATCTCTATTTCGGGATTTCGGTCAGGTTCTGCAATGGATTCGGACAGCACCGTCACTTCCTTGGAGGAGAACACGGAGAACTTTCTGCACGAATCCCACGCGCGACATTCTCGCCGAGGGCATCACCAATCTCTTCAAGCCGACGATCGAGCGGCTGGACGAGCGCGTGGCCTCCACCATCCAGCTGCAGGCGGAGCTGCGTGGCCAACTGGACGCACTGGCCGCCCAGCTGAGGGACATCGAGAGGGCCCAGAGTCAGATACCCGAGTTCGCGGACAAGGTGAAGGAGCTGCTGAACGTGAAGCACAAGGTGACGGTCATCAGCAACGTACTGGGCACCAGCCAGGAGCGGCTGACGGGTCTGCACAAGCTGATCGAGAAGGAGCAGCGCCGGCGACAGGCGCTCCTGGACTCGGCGCTCAGCACCAACATATCCTAGATCCTAGCCGCCATGGAGACGCCCTACACCGACCACTTGAACGCGGAGGACTTCGAGCAGGTTTACGAGCCTGCGGAGGATTCGTTCCTGCTGCTGGATGCCTTGGAAAAGGATCTGCCTTACCTGGAGCAGCTGCAGCCGCATCTTTGCGTGGAACTGGGTTCGGGTTCTGGGGTGATTATCACGGCTCTGGCCAAGAAGCTGGCTGGATTTTCCCTATGTCTAGCCACTGATATAAATCCCAGAGCCTGTGATGCCACCCGAAGAACTGCTGCCCGGAATGGAGCCCGTTTGGAGAGCATTCGTTGCAATCTGGCGGATGCACTGCGTCCGAAAGCCGTGGATGTGCTCCTCTTCAATCCACCCTATGTGGTGACCAGCGACGAGGAGCTGCAAACGCAGCAGTTCGATTCGCACAGCGAATCTTCAACGGAGCGCAATCTGGTCTTCTCCTGGGCCGGCGGACAGGATGGGCGACGCGTGACGGACATTCTACTGAAGCAACTGGATGACATTCTTTCACCTCGGGGCGTTCTCTACCTACTCCTTTTGCGGGAGAACAAGCCCGAGGAGATTATCAAATACTTAGAGGGCCTCCAGTTCCGGGCCGTTAAGTTCATGGAGCGACGCATTCCTGGCGAGCATCTGTACATACTGAAGGTCACCAGGTCCTCCTCATCCTCATGACTCGTGCAATAATATCAAAATCAAGTTGTATTTTAATTACACCGTAACCATTTAAAGGATAACGTTAAAATTTGATACTTACATTAAATAATATGCAGTACAATTCTAATTAAAGTTGAATAAATTTGAAGGACTTGTCTAGAAGTGAGTTTATGCGTTATTCTTTTTAATTACGGATCTATAAGATCTATTCTTGATCCATATCATCTGAGAGGGAGGGCCTTGAAGTTTCTAAAATATAGCGTAAAAAAGAATAATATCAAAAAGTAAAAAATATGAATTATTCGTCGTTATAGATGCAAAAAAAAAATTAAAATGGGTTTTGGCCAAAATTAGCTTCAATTTGTTTCATAAAAAGCTATTTTTCAAGCTTTTGCAAGGGATAAATTCAGGAGCTTTGAAATTCATCTGTATAATTTTAAAGTTGAGTTCAAAAATAATACCCAATATTCTCAAAATATACCCTGTGTCATAACTAGACGTCGATTTGTAATTCAAATCGTTTAATTTAAATTTTAAATCGATTTTCAGTGATCCTGAATTAAAAACGGGGTTTTTTTTTATCAAAAAATTGATTATTTTTAAAAATCATTTAGGGAAAACCATTTTACATAGCAATTTATATGTTATTGTTCTAATTTGTACCTCACACACGTCTCCTAATTATTTTAGTAATTAATGTTATATTTTTAGATTTTTATGTTAATCCGTTCTGGGTGAAATTTGCTACTGACCGTTTTTTAGAGGTCCAATTTTATAGTAGTTTAGATTTAGTAATCATTTTCAGACCCCTTAAATGTATTTAATCGAAGTATAATTTCCTTCATCATCCCTTACTAAATTTAATCGTTTTTTTCGATAGGGAGGATTGCGGAACCAGTATTGTCAACCCCCGAATACAAAGATATGGGAGGGATGGATCTGCACAAAAGGCCAATCAATGAATTATGTACCTATATGTGTTTGCGGATAACAACTCCCACCCCTATAACTAGCCCACTACTTCTTACCCCATCCAAGGGGGTTGTTGCCCCACCCAAGGCGATACAAACGTCGGCAAAGCAATTGAAACAAACTTTTTATTGGCATCTAATAGATGCCAATAGGTATGTACGTATGGTTTTTGCTTTTACGTAATTACAAGTATTTATTTCATCGTTCAAAATTGTTTCATATACTCATTTTCGATTCGTGGTTCAGTTTTGCTGCCTTTCTGTACTAATGGATGTTACTTTCGCACTAAGCGGATACATAAATAATTGGTATTTACAAAAATGCATGATTCTTTAACATTGTCTGCGGCTATCGTTATTGTTATATCTGTATCAAATCGGCTTATTTATCTTCGGCATATGTGTATCAGTTATATTGTATTCAATTATTCAGTTGTTGGTTAGCAATGCAAGCTTAGAGCCATTTGCCTTTGGATCTGGGTCAGTGGGTGGTCTGAGTGTATATATGTTTGTATGTCTTTCTGGGCTAAATCGGTTGGATTGGAGGATAGTGTTTTGGGTGGTTTCGGCGGCATTCAGTAGCGAGCACCTTGATTGACCAACTGGGCACATTTCTTTGTCAAATATCAGTCGTTATATTTTGAGAACTCGAATTGGGGCTGTGTATAAATAGTTTGGATAGCCTTACTAGTAGATTCATGTAACATTAAAAGTTTATTTCTTGCTCATTATTCGATTCTCGGGTCGGTTTTTACAATTTACAAATGAATTAGGCTTATCATCGATTATCGATTCGCTCGCACAATTTCTCAACAGAATAATAGACCCTTCGCTCTAATACTGACATTGAGTACTTAAGATTATTCATAGTTAATGGTTAATAATGCTGAAACGAAACAGAAGGGTGAAACTCGAACTTCCCGATGTTTTATTTTTTTACCCCAAAAGCGAAGGCCAAGAAAGTCCACGGTGCCTTCGGTGTGGGAAATTTTAGGAGCGTGTGGCCACAGTGGGCGCGAAAATTTTGAAACCATAGCTAAAACTTGAGTGTCATTGAATGCGTGTCGAGAATTGGTTTTCAATGATTTTTGCGATTTATTTAAATACAATTTTTTATGTTTTATTTGTTTTGTATTTAATTGCATTTGCTGTTTCTTTTTCATTTTTGTATTTTTTGTTTCTTTCGATCATTCATAAATGTAACGTCTAATTTAATAATGAATTTTTTAATATTTTGTATGTGTGTGTGTGTGTCTGTGTTTAATTCACGGGCTTCGTTTACGCTACATTTTCAATCTTTGTATATTTTGTTTTACGCATAAACTGGGCGTTTAAATTAGGACTTATGACATAAAGGAAAGAAAGATTTTGGTTTTTTTTTTTTTTTTCTTGTATATAGTGGGGATGTTTACTTTTTGTTGGTTTCCGTATAGATTGCTTTCATACGAAAATGCCTTCAATTACAATTTTTGTTTGTTTTGTAGTTTTTTATAAAAAAAGTACACATAAAATACAATTAAAATAAGGTAAGAAATAAAAAATTATTTCTTAAACATAAAAATTATATACTTTTGCGATTTTTTTGTGGTTTTTTCTCCTCCTTCTTCTCCTTGTTGTGGTTTATTTTCTGGTTGTTGGTTTATTATTATTTTTTTTGTTTTGTTTTTTTGCTTGTAACTTTTATTTATTATTAATTTAAATTTTTTGTTTGTTTTTGTTTGTATTTTTGACTACATTATTATTACGCCTGATCGTCCGAGCCGGAACCGTCATCATTATCATCATCATCATCTATAAGGGGGGAAAATCGGGTGATTAGATTGATGGCGCAAAAAGGAAATTGTTTCTATCAACTCACCATCACATTCAATGTCGTCCTCCTCACCATCGTAGGGGATGTCGTACTCGTCGCTCTCGATTTCACTGTCGCCCTCGATGATTTCGTCCAGAGCCTCTTCCTCATCGGAATCGCCATCCGCGGCTTTCTTGGCCTTCTTTGATTCTGCGGATTTGGCCTGGAAAGGTGAGAAATAGGATACAAATTAGTAGCTGTCTTCGATATAAATATTGAATTAATTAAATACAAATATATTTACAACAGTAGGTATTGAACCTGGGTCCCTGTTATCTTTAATTATCCATCAAATATGTAAATATCTCTGCGACCTACGCAACTAGCTATAAGAAATCAAGGAAACAAGCCGAAATTAAGGAAAGTTTCGGGAAATGGTCCTACGCGCCCAACTCAAACCCACACATCTCCTTGATCAAGGGCATCCAATACCCCTCTTAACTTCCCGTGCGTGTGTACATAGTCATAAAATGTATATTTTCAGCCCACAAACAAGCAGCGACGAAAATCGTTATTTTCGCCGTAAAAAAACATTTGAAAAATGCGCGCGCCAATGTAATTCGCTGCAAACGGAGAGACAGAGAGAGAGAGCGAGTTCGAGAGAGCGGATTACAAGTGCAGCCGTGTTACATCTGTGCTGTGTATGTATTAGGCGACATATTTACTACATAAGGGGGAGAAAAAAAAAACAATAAGCAGCGACGCCGGCAGCGACATATGTATCCGCATCCGTGAGATACGAAACGAAGCCAAGCGTGCCCTGTGAAAACGGGAGAGCGGCGGAGAGCGAAAGAGAGTACCTGAGAGGGACCGTATCCGAATCCGTGAGAGCGTCCCGGTCGGCAGAAACTGTAAACTGTACCTGAACTGCATGAATGAATCTCTCCCTCACACAAACGACAGCTGCTGCAGCGACGTCGGCAGCGAAGAAAAAGGCGCAAAACAACAACATGCGTGGGTTCTCAACTTTTGCCGCTGGCCAACCAACAACAAGCTATATATTATGGTATATGATGTAGTATATAGGCGGTCACGTTCCCAAGTCAAAGAGTAGCCGCAATACATGGGCCCTATTTACCAGGCTGTTACAAAGCGGAAAATGCGGAAAACAAGCGGGCTGTGGAAAAATGTGCAAAATTAATGGCCAGCCCACCGCCCCTCATTCTTTTATTCCGCTTACAGCATAAGTCACGAGACCCAGAACTCGAGAAATGTGCAATAGAGGATTAGGGGGACAAACAGGGTCCATCAGAAAAGGGAAATAATTGATACTGGGATTACTAGGGCAGAGTTAATCCGAGTTCTATTGATTGGTATCTCGGTTAATTACGGTGATTAATGAAAAGATAGGAAAAACCCCATATCAGCTAGTATTATAATAGAATCAGAATAGTAGTGTTAGAAGGATTGAAGGGCATAAGTACAAACAACTCCATTGTTATGATTTAGGTAAATAACTTTCCAAATCTTATCTGGAATTCTTCAAAATGTACTACTGTACCATATATCTGAAAGTTATTCAAAAGTATCTCAATTGATTTATAGGAAAACCCAAGATAACTAACTAGTCCCAACGACACCCTGTAAAACTGTCTTGTTTTATGTACCAAAATAAATACGCATAAAGCAGAGCAGGGAAAAAAGTGAAAGATAAATGTAAGCACAAACGCAAACAGACAAAACGGCCCATGGTGTGTATACAAATTACGAGGGAGAGGAGAGGAGAGAGCGAGCGAGTTTTGTATCTCGCTCTTTTGTATCCGTATCTATCACTCTCAAGGCGCTCTCTCTCCCGCTCTCCCTCTCTCGTTAAACTGTACATTTTTATTTCGAGTTTGAGTTTGAGAAAAGCGCTTGATTTGCCAATTTATCTGCCTTACTGGCCGAACTATTTTATTTTTATCAAGAAATGTGCTTCTCGATTATGGAATGTGACAGCGCAGAAGCCCAAAAACTTGTTCAAATACCGCGTGCTCTGCGTTAACCAAAAATAAAGTGGCAAAACATGACATGAGTAATTTACCGGCCGGCAATGTGTGTTTTCATTGAGAGAGTGCATTGGCATCGCTTGGCGTTTGCATTTGCAATTGCCATATAGCCCATAGCTGATAAATAAGGCCAAGAGTATGAGTTATATCTATTGGTAATGCTTTTCAGCGAACACGTCAATGCTAATGACCTATGGGGTTTATTAAAAATACATTACCCACCCCATACGAAACGAAACAAAAGGCCCTGGCTAACTGTACTCCCGGTCTATATGCACGATGGCCCTCTAACCTCGATTTGAACCTAACAACAATAATCTTTGATTGCCGGACCCGCAATCATCTTGGTTAATCGTAAACAACACTCTCTCTCTCGGGAGAGAGAGTATATAAGCTAGTGAGAGAGCGGCGCTGTTCCGAAAAACGTGTGTATATCTATTTCTAGAATTTTTCTCAACCACAAAAAGTGGAACTCGCGTTAATCAAGTGAATCATTGGGGGCGCTTCTACTTCTACTACCGCGTAAACAAATGGCTATGGCTACTTACTTCTGCTGGCCTCTTGGTGCCTTTCACGGATTCCTTTGCGGGGGCAGCGGCGGCAGCAGCGTCGGCGGCATCCTCGCCGTCCTTTGACGCACCGTTGTCGGCCGCATCGCCGGCGGCGTCGGCAGCAGCGGCCTTATCCTCGGCGGCCGCCTTCGCCTTGAGATCGTCCTTCACGGAGCTCACATCCTCCGCCGCCACCTTCTCCACGGCCACATCGCCGTTGTTCTGTTGTTCCGTAGCAGCCGACATGTTTTTTGTTTTTGTTTTTCCGGGAACTTTTACTTGCTAGAAAACAGTGCGGGTTTTTCGCTTGTTTTGGTTACTGTATTTCGAATTCAGTGATCGACAAATCCACAAAATCGACAAAAAACCAGCGCAAGATACTCGGGGAGGCGAGAGATACAAGAGAGAGGAGAACCGATCCGAACGAAGCACACAAACACACTGAATGCGATTCAGCTGCGGGCCGTCTATTTAAGCACTTGCTCTCTCCGGCGAGAGTATCTCGCAGATACGCTCTCCCTCTCTCTCTCGGACGCTCTCTGTTATCTCTCTCCCACGCCATTGGCCGTGCGCCTAATACACTCAAAAAACCGCCGCGGCATTTGTACAGCCGCAGTCGATGGCGGCAGCGCAGAGAGAAGACAACAACAACATCCCAGAGCGAGCGATGGATTTTCGAAATATTATTTTGCGGTGATTTTCTGTCGATTATATGTGGTATATATCTATATGGCTATATAGGAGTGGCCCCCATACATCAGTTGGCGCTACGAAGGGCTAAAGGATTTCTTTCTAGGCCCCACTGATATACGGGATCCCTCTTTGGTTCGGTCTTCCTACCACCGATATGTGTACCCGTCGACGGTTCGTTCAAGACTGAGCTTGTCGTCCGCTGGATGGCTAGAAATTGCCGCTTGCTTCTTCTTGCGCCAAATCATTTCAGCACCTTTTCGCCTATATCTCGGATACCTCTGTTCCGATCGACTTGGTTACCGATCGAGGCTATAGCCAGCGGCGTCCCCTTAATTTTGAACCTTTTCCCGAGGCGCTGCGATCAAAACTAGATCTGTAATTGACAAGTTGAGTGGGTTTCCTGATTAATTCCATACAAAATCTGCTTGGGTTCCGTGAGTACAGTTGTGGGCTGTGTTTGGCGGTAAATTTGAAAATTGCGCGCACCGGTGGTGCGTTTCTGGGGTTAGGGGAGGGGGGCTGGCGAGGGGGGGGGCGGTGGTGCAGTCACTCTGTGGCGTTCTGACCGTTCGGCGGTGGAACAGAACAGAACGAACAGTGGATGTTGCCGATGGGAAGAAGTGTTGCAGCATTGTTGCTGCAGATGTGTGCTGTGTTTTCTATACGGCTCGTATTTATAGAGTGGACCAGCGTGGGACGCAATGTCGTCGCGGATTGGGGTCAATTGATTGGTAACGTGTGGGGAAGCAGGTGATACGAAAGCGGGCGGCTATTTTTGAGACTCTAACAATTTAATTGCACGCAATTGGGGGAAATGCTATTACGCCGGGGCTGCAGATTGTCAAATATTTGGAAAAATGTTTTTGAAAATAAAAAAAAATCTTTACATTTTATATGTCCTACTTAATAACAAAGTTTTATTACTTGCACTTGGAAGATTAGACCTCAAAATACGTAGTTATATACACAATACCACGCGATTTTAAAGTTCAACGCTTATCATCTGATCGAACTGGGTCCACCCTCAAATCTTTTTTATACATATGCCAATCTTTCTGTTGATCCCGCACTTGTGGTTCGACCATTTGGTGGCACTGTTCGTTACACGAACCCAGTTGGTTCAGGAATTGACTAATATATACGAGAACTGCCGACTGGGCTATATCACCCATATCACCTGGTAATCAACGTGCTCAGCGGGTATATTACTTTTCTTTATGAATCTGTGTTATCGGTCAAACGATCATTCAGAGGTTGATCTCTCAAGTTCATTCAAAATGCTTGGTATTTAAGATTAGAAATAAACAGAAATCTTTAGGAGAAGGCCGGACGTTTCTTCAAATTACATCTTTAAAAAAAAATTATCAAACTTGACTTGAGTAATCCCTCAAAAACCGGGTATCCACCAGTCGAGTTGCCAGCCCACAGTCTTTCACGTTTTCAGCTATTTTTGTGAAAAAGCAAAGGCAAATACAAATTCTTAGGCTATATAGTTTGTAATCTGAATAATACGGTCGACGACAGAGCGAGCGGACGACTGTCGACAGGCGGGTCGCTAATTAAAACCGGCGAACCTGTTCCGAGTCATCCCATTCCCATCCGAGGCGGTATAGTAAGCGTAAACACCTGTAATCGTGGGCCCTCGTCCATTGAGTTATCACATATTTGAGCAGAAGCGATGACTTTTCGCCTGATAAGCCGATTTGCGTCTCCGTTTTGCCACTGCTGCGGTTTGATTTCTTCTCACTTCACTCGCCGCCCTCCAAAACTCTTAGTATCCGTTCGAGTGGCTTCGGCGTTCGTTCCCCCCAAGAATTCGCGCTTTCTCATCGGGCATGTGGGGTCTCTCCCCGTAGAAAGACAGTGAACCATGGTATCTAGAATCCAGAGGACAACCTGTGCCAATTTCTCGAGTTATCTGGGTGTTACGACGGTCGACGGTTTCAAGGTTAGGCGATAGTTCAAAATGGAGGTACCGCTGGGAAAGGCGATAAGAAAGGTTCAGGCAGGCAGAAATGGTAAAATATCTTGTCCTTGGGTGTACTTCCAAGGAACTCAAACATCTGCGGAAAAGGTTTTTCTATATTTTTGGGCCGTAAAAATACAGACCGTAAACTATCTTGTTTAGTTGGGATTTTCTGCCTGGTCTTGTAATTTCATTTCCTTATGTTGTTCGTGACCTGCCCCAAGAATTTCTCCCAGTGCAATTACACGTTGCGTCATTAAATTGCTGTAGCATAAAGGTGTAAACAAATCTCAATGCAAACAATCGATAGCCAGACGCTCAAAAACACACACGTAAACTTGCATGTGCTGCTAATAGATCTGTAATGTGGTTGTTAGGTTTTTATAGAAAGTGGGGATAAAGAAAAGGTTGGGAATTTGTAACTTGCACTAAAAGAAATGCTATGATTAATTGGAATATGAATTTCAAAAATCATAGTAATAGTAAATATTGTTATAAGACTATTAAAAATTCCTCCTAAACCAATAGTTTCTCTTTATACAGTTGAGATGCAAATTGTAGCGCATAAAAATAGCCACTATAGGCCGTCCCTTCTAGCGTTTAGGTACACAAGATTGTTTGGTAGAACGACATGAACAGGTTTACGACTCGATTAGAACGATTGTTAGACTGTTGCTAGATAGATGGGCGATTCGCTTGGCCGCTCGACTCGGGATCTCGATTCTCGGCTGTGGAAGACGATCATCATCATCATGGCAAGGGTATCAGACATTCTCGGGTCGGGTCTCGTTTTCCCGGCATGTGCTAATGTTTCCACACGAGTGCTTGACTCGACTTGACTGGCTCACCTGCTCACCTCACCTGTTTCACCTGCGTCAACGGGCGGTTTACACGCAATTATTAGAATGAATTTAAGCAGCCCCCATTGTCTTCGATTTCCAATACCACCTGATGAGGAGGGAAGTGTTTTTGGTGTCCTTTTGGTGTAGTGGGTCCCGGGTCACCCCGTCGAGTTGCTTTAATTGCGTAGAAACGCAGGACCCCACATTCATGACGTGTGAGTGGACATTCTTCTGGCGACTTTGTTGAAGGATGTGGCAAGACAGCCGCTGCCACTGCATTGCTGCATCTGAAATGTCCCAAATAGGCTCAACCCCACCTTTCACTCACCCACAACATTATCAGTGATGTCAATCTATCGGTTTTAAAGCATAGAGGTTCTAAGCAAACCTACAACCAAATAATATCAACTATTAAATATCTAATTTATAAAGTTAGTCATTGGAAACAAATACTACTACTGATTTTGGAACCTTTCAATGATTAAATTACTTTAAATTAAACTTTTTCAAATAATAAGTACACCCTTTAATAAAAAAAATCTACTAAAAGAACGGTTCAGCTCATATCATTGTACAGTCGAATCCTTTTTGTGAAACTGTTATAAATTAACCCTCCACTTAAACTAAAACATCATCATAAATATACTCATTTAATAAAATACATCTTGTTATTACCGTATTATTTTGGCTATAAAACCTCTGAATAACCAGAAACTCAACCAACCCATCCTCATTCCCAGATACCTTCTTTCAGCCATCTGCGTCATGCATTTCGCTGCACTGAGCACTTGTGGTGGGTGGTGTACTGTATTTTGGGTGGTGGTGCGGTGGGTTACCCCGTCGGTGGTGCTTGGACCGTCGGAGATGAGCAAAGATAGAGAATGGGCAGCCATGAATGAATCATTTCGGGGGAGAGGCAGAACCATCATGGCATCATAGGCTGAATTCGTTTGCGTTTGCACAGCCAAAATAAAACAACGGCCAGTGGCCATGATTGTGTGATTTGTCTTTGTTGGCCGGAGCAAGAATCATTTATTCAATAATTACATATTTACATACAAACGTTAAGAGGGCGGAAATGATGTCGATATATGGTGTTTTAAATGTTTTTACAAGCTGAGAAATCGTTTTAAATCCACTGGAGTGAAATGTAAACGTAAAATATTGGTTAATTTTGGTTATTTCATGCTAGAGAAACACTTAAGAATGAGGTACTGCAAATAAGAAGTTTGGAAAGTGAGATTTGCTCATGTAAAGTTTAAATTCGACCGCCTTCCAGAGGAGTAGTGTAAAAATGTTCAAGAGGGTCAAAAGATTTTAAATTATTTTTAATATATTATTATTATTATTATTAACAAAAGTTTTTTTTTTAATTTAACATATCAGAAAATAAATATAATATTATAATAAAAATCATTATATAAACTATAAATTGTGTATTCTAAAACTTAGAAAATTGCTATACATTTTATTTTAAATTAATCAAGACTAATAAATGCTTTTATTAATTTAAGTAATGTTTTTTTTTTGTTATATTACAGTTTTTAAACATTTAAAAAGGGGGCTCCTGGGACCCTTTATTACTATTACCCCCTTTTCGACACCCTTGCTTATAATTAACAGCTGTATTATGTCGTCTATCGATGACTATCGGCGGCGGTGGGTACGAATCACCTTGTTGGCCGATTTTGTCCGAGTTTTTTGCCGCGAAATATGACGCACCCTGTGGTTCTGTTTTGTTCAAGTTTTGATTAAAACTCACAAATAAACTAATTATATTCCTAAGAGTATGGGAGTTATAGGTTATAGTTGTCCGATCGGGCTGGATCCTACTCATATGGTTATCAAGAATACGTTTACTATATGGAAAAGTCTGAATAAGTTGAAAAACATGTTGGGCGCCAAACACACGGTTGCATTTGGCCATTTATAATTTCAAGCCGACTTTCCAATGAAAATACACCCTGAAATTAACTCCGACCCCCATAATTGGAGTAAGCCCATTTGTGTCCTGCGCAGGATATATATTAGGGGATTCCTAACTGTTGAATTGCTGAATTGTTGAAATTCATCAAAAATTTCAGCAATTAAGGGAACGACCCAAATGGTTCCTGTTGAATTTTCAAACAGCTGTTATTTGTTGAAAGTTTCCGGAACTTAAAGCATGTAATATTTGATTTATTATTGCTGGTTACTGTCTAAGTGTTACAGGCAAAGAACCACAATATGCTTTCTAAGTTGATTTTAAAATAAATAATGCGTACTGGTGATACTAATGTTACGAGTTGCCACGACTTTTAAAAAAGGTGACAACTCTGGCTTTTCAGCAATTCAACAAATTTTCGCAGCCCCGAGGCTGATGAATTGCTGAAATTTCTGAAAGTTGACTTTGTATGGAACAGCTGATTAACAGCTGACCAAAATTCAACAATTCAGCAATTCAACAGTTTAGGGAATCCCCCTATTAATCGCCAAAAAGCTGCCTGCTACAGAGTGCCGCCCCTGGAAATCGAGATGCAGCCCTAGCGCCCACCAATGACCTTGCGCTGACATTGCCGCACAGCAGTTGCGGACGAAGAAGATTTGCGGAATCAGTGGAATCGCGACCCGGAGTTTGCTAGCACGCACCAGGAGTATCCAGAGAATCCAGAAAATCCAGATAAATCCCAAGATGGCCTTCAACAAGCTGAGCATCGAGAACCTGGACTTGGATGGCAAAAGGGTGCTGATGCGGTAATTTCAGAGAATTCTGGGGTAAAATGTAGTTGCATAAACTTACGGTTTCGTTTTTTTGTACTTCATAGAGTGGACTTCAATGTGCCCATCAAGGAGGGCAAGATCACCAGCAACCAGAGGATCGTGGCTGCCTTTGGATAGTGTCAAGTTGGCCCTGTCCAAGAAGGCCAAGTCGGTGGTGCTCATGTCCCATTTGGGTCGTCCCGATGGCAACAAGAACATCAAGTACACTCTCGCTCCCGTGGCCGCTGAGTTGAAGACCCTGCTCGGTCAGGATGTGACCTTCCTGAGCGACTGCGTCGGCGCCGAGGTGGAGGCCGCCTGCAAGGATCCCGCCCCGGGATCGGTCATTCTCCTTGAGAACGTTCGCTTCTACGTGGAGGAGGAGGGCAAGGGAGTGGACGCCAGCGGCGGCAAGGTGAAGGCCGATCCCGCCAAGGTCAAGGAGTTCCGCGCCAGCCTGGCCAAGCTGGGCGATGTCTATGTGAACGATGCCTTCGGCACCGCGCATCGCGCCCACAGTTCCATGATGGGCGATGGCTTCGAGAAGCGTGCCGCCGGTCTGCTGCTCAACAAGGAGTTGAAGTACTTCTCGCAGGCCCTGGACAAGCCCCCAAATCCCTTCCTGGCCATTCTCGGCGGCGCCAAGGTCGCGGACAAGATCCAGCTGATCGAGAACCTGCTGGACAAGGTCAACGAGATGATCATCGGCGGCGGCATGGCCTTCACTTTCCTGAAGGTCCTGAACAACATGAAGATCGGTGGCTCGCTGTTCGATGAGGAGGGTTCGAAGATCGTCCAGAATCTGGTGGAGAAGGCCAAGAAGAACAACGTGCAGCTGCATCTGCCGGTGGACTTTGTCTGCGGCGACAAGTTTGCCGAGAATGCCGCCGTGAGCGAGGCCACCGTGGAGGCGGGCATTCCCGATGGACACATGGGTCTGGATGTGGGTCCCAAGACCCGCGAGCTCTTCGCGGCGCCCATTGCCCGCTCCAAGCTGATCGTGTGGAACGGGTAGGTGTCTCGTTTATTGATTTCTTTATATATTTATAATAGAGCCCTGCATGAGGGGATTCAATGAATCATTTTGAATTTTTTGTTTTATATGAATGAATTAATTCGAATTTTGAGTTTAAAAGAATTTAATTAATTTGAATTTTGAGTTTTATAGAATTGAATGAATGAATGGCATTAAATCCGAAATAATTCAAACGACAATTTCTTTTGAAGAAGAAAGGTCCATAATTTTTCTGATTAAATCTGCATGAATTTTTTTTTGTAAGCAGTTAACATTGATTTTTTAAACATTTTCCAGTTTTTGTACTCAAAAAAAGCATGGATTCAATGAATTATTTTGAATTTTTTTGTTTTATATGAATGAATTAATTAGAATTTTGAGTTTAATAGAATTGAATGAATTTGAATTTTGAGTTTAATAGAATTGAATGAATTTGAATTTTTAGTTTAATAGAATTTAATGAATTTGAATTTTAATGGCATGAATTCCGAAATAATTCAAACGACAATTTCTTTTCAAGAAGAAAGGGCCATAATTTTGTGATTAAATCTGCATCAATTTTATTTTCTTAGCATTTAACATTGATTTGTTAAAAATTTTTCAGTTTTTGTTCTCAAAAGAAAGCACAAAAAAAACTGGCAAATTCAAAAAGTTCATTAAAATTATTCATTCATTCAATTCGAAATGAATTAGAAAAACATTCAATTTATTTCACATAGAATTGAATTAAACAAATCAGAAATTTCATTGCATACTATGATAAAACAAAAATTGAATGATTCACATAGGGCTCTAATTTCTAATAAGTTATTAGTAATAAACTAAACTTTATTGCAGACCCCCCGGCGTGTTCGAGTTCCCCAACTTCGCCAACGGCACCAAGTCGATCATGGACGGCGTGGTGGCCGCCACCAAGAACGGCACCGTCTCCATCATCGGCGGCGGCGACACTGCCTCCTGCTGCGCCAAGTGGAACACCGAGGCCCTCGTCTCGCACGTCTCCACCGGTGGCGGCGCCTCGCTGGAGCTCCTGGAGGGCAAGACACTGCCGGGCGTGGCCGCTCTGTCCAACGCCTAAGTCTCCTACAGACGGTATAATCTATGTTAATCGCATCGTTTATCTTGTAAGCACAAACCAAGACGTTTAAAAAAGTTAAATCTATTTGTTGCGGAACCATATTATGCATACGAAATAAAGGAATCCTAGTTTATTTGCGGGCAAAGTTGCTGTCCATGGAGGAGGCGGTGCGCTGAATGTTGTTCAGATTGGCCCGGATGCGATCGCCAATGGAGTTGTGGTTGGCGATGGCCTTCTTGACCTCCTTGTTGATGAACTCCTTGTCAAAGTCACGTTCACGGTTTTGGGCCTCCTCGCGAGCGTAGGCTTCGCGGTGCTTGCGGACCACCTGGCTGCGATCCGCTTCCCTCCAAGTCGCATTGTCCATCATCTCGCGCAGTCGAGCTTCGCGATCGGCTTCGCTGAGTTTGGGTTTGCCGGTGGGACGACTGGGAGCGGGACTGCGCTCCTTTTCCTTTCGTTGCGGTGGTCTTTCTGCGCTCCTTCGTCGGTCATCTCTCTTGGAACTTTGGCTCCTGCTGCGTTTGGTTCTAGAACGCTCCTCGGGGCTTCTGCTCCTGCGTTTTTCTCTCTGTTTAGAGGTTTCCTTGCTTTCTTCTGGGCGTCGGTGTCTCTCTTTTCTGTCTTCTGGACTCCTGGTCCTCCGTTTCTGCTTTCTATCTTGGGGACTTCTGCTCCTCCGTCTTTCTTTTCGCTCTTGGGGACTTCTGCTTCTCCGCCTTTCCTTTCTTTCTTGAGGACTTCTGCTCCTCCGCCCTATCCTTCTCTCGTCTGGACTCCTCCGTCTGTTCCTTTGCTCTGGAGGGCTTCTGCTTCTGCGTCTCTCCCTCTGCCTTCTGTCTTCTGGACTCTGCTTCCTCTCATCCCTTCTCCTTGACTCAACTTCCCTAGATCTTTGTCGCCTGGGCCTTTCCTCCTCATCACTACTTTCGTCGCTGCTGCTGCTGCCTTTTCGCTTGGATTTCTTTGACTTTTTCTTGGTCGCCATGTCTAGTTGCTTGGAAATGGTGCGATACTGGGCGTCCAGCAGTTTGTCCAACTTGAGGTCACCATTGCCGTGGTCGCCCTTCAGTTTGCTGACCTGGCGGGCCAGTTTTCTGTCCAGATCATCGTCGCTATCGCTGCTCTCGCTGTCATCCTCATCGCTGGATCGCCTTTTGCTCTTTTTCTTTTTGGACTTCTTGGACTTTTTGCTCTTCTTGGCCTTTTTCTCCTTGGCGGCCTTTAGATCCTGTTCAGTCTTGAGGATGCGATGGATTTCCTTTAGTTTGACGGGATTCTCGAGGAGTTTTCGACGGGATTCCATCTCGCGCTGCTTGATGAGCATCAGCGGATCCTCGAGGGTCTTGCGCTGCATGTCGACCTGTTCGGTGGACTGCAGATTGCGATAGGTGCGGATGGAGAAGGGCACGCAGTCGTGCTCCACATGATTGATGGACTGCTTGAGGCCCACGGTGCTCTGCTCCTGGCGGTGCTCCTCGGCCTGCAGGGTCTCGAAGGACTTGTCGATCTTGCGGCCCAGCAGGTACTCCTCGCGATTGATCAGCTCCGTGCTGTCTGTATTAAGATTTTGTAGAGATTAGAGGATTTATTAAGATTTCATCTAACTGACTCACTTTTGTACATCCACTCAAGTTTGGCCTCGCCGGCTGCTCCACCACTATTACTCAGTACACCAGAAGATTCGCCCAACCGCCTCAGCTCCTCCCTGTCCCGCTCCTCGTTGATCTCCTTGCGCAGATCCTCCAGCTTGCGCTCCTCCATCTTCGCCTGCTCCTCCGCCTTCCAAACGCGCTCCTGGTTTTTCATCGTGTGCGGATGCCATGATTTCTTCAAGTTCTGCGGGGGAAATAGCTTGTGTTTACAGGGGTAGTGTGTTGGGTAGCCACTACTTACTAGATCTCCGCCACCCATCGTGGGTTTTGTCCGGGGTTTTCACAGTAAAACAAACAAATTACAAACAATTGCAGTTTTTCCCTCCTTTTCTTGTGTTTTCATCAAAAACATATGTTCCCTATCAAGGTTGCCAGATGGTCGCGATATTATAAATGAAATAGAGTTGCCAGAATGTACGAATTTTCTTAAACTATTTTTTAAAATATCTGATATGTGCTAAATTAATTCTAATTTATTTAACAATATATTTTAAACACATTAATGTTGTCACATATCTAAGTAAAAAACATAGCTTTGATTAGTTCATCACTTTTTATAAAAAAGAGTTTTACTTCAAAAAATATAAATTTATTGACTTGACTGAGTTTTTCAACATGCTTTTTTTGCAACGTAATTTTTTCAAGTTTTTAGTCTGCAATCCTAAATCAAATCTAAGCCCGAATTCAGCCAAGTCTTTACGATATTTTAGCACAGATGACTGCAATGGGAAGAAATCTCAAGCAAAGAAGTTGAGTTTGAAAAATGTCGATGTGACGGGAAAAAAAGTTTTTATGAGGTAATAAGAAACCTAGAGAAATATGTTTAAAGATTTATACGTTTTTTTTAAAGAGTGGACTTTAATGTACCCATGAAAGATGGTAAAATAACAAACAATCAACGTATTGTGGCTGCCCTTCCAAGCATAAAATATGCTTTGGATAAAAAGTGCAAAGTCTTTAGTAAGTATTAGTTGTAGGTTTTACGCACAATCAAAAAAAAATTAAAAAAAAAAAATTTTTTATCAATCAGGTTTTGGCTTCCCACTTGGGACGTCCTGATGGCAAAAAGGACAAGAAGTTCAGCCTGGAGCCGGTGGCCAAGGAGCTGGAGAAGGTGCTGGGAAAGCCGGTCTGTTTCCTAGAAGACTGTGTCGGTGATCAGACTCTGGAAGCTCTGAAGGATCCGCCCGAAGGCAGCGTCCTGCTGCTGGAGAACCTACGCTTCTACGCCGAGGAGACGGGCAGCAGCAAGGATGAGAACAAGAAGAAGGTCAAGGCCGATCCCCAGAAGGTCAAGGAGTTCCGGGCCAAGTTGGCGCAGCTTGGCGAGATTTATGTGAATGATGCCTTCGGAACCGCCCATCGTCCGCACAGTTCCATGATGGGCGATGGCTACAAGGTGCGTGCCGCCGGCTTCCTTTTGGACAAGGAACTCGAGTACTTTGCCAAGGTCCTCCACAATCCAGCGACTCCCTTTTTGGCAATTTTAGGAGGCGCCAAGATAGCAGATAAAATTCCACTGATTACCAATCTCCTGAATAACGTATCCGCCATGATAATATCCGGTGGCATGGCTTTTACATTTCTAAAAGTCCTCAACAACATGGAGATTGGAAAGTCCCTGTTCGACGAGAAGGGAGCCAAAATGGTAGATGATATTGTCTGCAAGGCAAAGGATAAGAATGTGAATATACTATTTCCGGTTGACTTCGTGATCGCCAACAAGATCGACCAGAAGCCGGATAAAATCGATTTTGTTGAGGCTACCAAGGGCATACCAAAGGATATGATGGGTCTGGATCATGGCGAGATATCCAGTGCCCTGTTTGCAGGCGCCATTTGTGCATCCAAAACGATAGTTTGGAATGGGCCGCCTGGTTTGTTCGAGAACGAGTTATTCTCCCAGGGCACCCAGTCCATGTTGGAGGCGGTAATCGGAGCCACTAAAAGGGGAGCCACCACAATTGTGGGCGGAGGTGATACGGCCACGGCTTGCATGAAGTTCGGTGGAGCGGACAAGGTATCACATGTGTCCACCGGTGGAGGAGCTTCGCTGGAGCTGCTGGAAGGAAAGATTCTGCCAGGAGTGGCTGCTCTCTCAGATGCCTAAAAATAATCCTTATTCTAGTTAATTTACATTACTAAACAGAGTTTCGCAAAATACAAAGTTAAGTTTTATTTTGGAATAACATTAGTTGGTTAAAACTTGATAAAAGAGCGGGCTTCGATTCAAACATATCTCGTGTGGGTTTTTTTCTGTCTTTTTACCTCCATAAATTTGGTCTAAACTTAAAATTTAACCCGGTTATTTTCTCGCATCACAAATCATTTAAAATAGTAACTAATAACCGCAAACAAAACATACATTTTACATACACGAGAACTGTTTGGACCCCAACTCTGAAGGGTAATACAAATGGAATAACATTTCTTGGGATTAATCGAAGCTAATAAGCTCCGCTGTGGCTGGCTCTTCGGCTTTCGGTTCGTTTTGCGGCGGAGCAGGTGCAGCAGCCACCGCCTGGACTTGGTTGTTGGTGATTTCGGTGACTGGAGGTGCAGCCTGTGGAGCTGGAGGTTGCTGCTGCAGCATCATGTGAATTTGCTGAGGCTGCTGACCGGGAATTTGCTGTGGCTGCTGACCGGGAATTTGCTGTGGCTGTTGACCAGGAATTTGCTGAGGCGGCTGCTGTTGAAATGGCATCTGCGGATTGGAAAGCTGTTGTGCCTGCGGAGCCTGTGGCTGCTGTAGGATTGCTGGATTGTTGGCGAACTGATTTTCGGGCATGGGCGGCATCATCTGGGCATTTCCAGGCGGCGCCGGCTGCTGCATTAAGCCGCCGGGCTGCTGGAGATTCGGAGGCATCGGCTGTTGCATCGACGGATTGTACATGCCCGGCGGAATGGCCTGGAACTGGCCATGTCCATTGGGAGCCGGTGCCGGAGCCTGTGGCAAATAGCCAGCCGCATAAGGATTGTACACATTGTTCAGCTGATGCGACGGCGATCCATGTTGCGGCACCGCCGACGGCGGCATGTAGGGAAACGGTGGCGCCGCCTGACCCATCAAATACTGCGCCTTCTGCTGCTCCTGACGCAACTGCATCTCGCGCTCCTGCTCCTGGATGCGCTGCAGGGCCAATTGCCGCTGGTACTGCAGATACTCCTGCTTCTTCTTGCGCATTATGTCCAGTTTCTGGGCCATTTGCATCTGCCGCTGACGCTCCTGCTCCTCGGCAATCCTTCGCAGCTTTTCCACATGCTCCTGTCGCAGTTGATCCAGCGCCGCCCGCGAATCCTTGATCTGGGTGAGCTTGTCCTGCAGCTGCTCGTACCACATGCGCTTGTCGTCCATCTCCTTGATGTACGACAACTGCTGCGAGTGTAGAGAAGTCAAGGTCATGAAGAGCGTCTGCACCGAGGAATCGTTGGAGATGCTGCGACCACGACTCGAGTTCGACTTCATGCGGTTCACAAAGATCTCCACCTGGGTGCGCATATTGGCGGCAAACTCATCGATCTGCAACTCATCGGCGCTTTTCGTTTGCAAGGGCATAATTTGCTGGGGCTGCGGAGTCGGTGGCATGGGACTCGGCGCCGAGGGACTTGCCATCGAGGAGGATTCGCTGATCTTGCGCTGCTCCCAGTAGCTGCGGTTCAAGTACTTCGCCAGCTCCGGATTGTTCGCCTCCTCCGGCTGCTGCTGCTGATGGTACTCCTTGGGCTCTGGAGGCGGTGCCTCCGGGCTGGGCGACCTCTGCTGCATGCGATAGGCTGCAGCTGGCTGAGCCTGCTGCTTGGGCTTCTGTTGCTCCGCCTCCGATTGACTGAGCGCCAGGGCCAGCTGCAGTTCCTCCTCCTCCTTGAGTTCCGCCTCGGTCTTGCGGGCTGGTGTCTGAATTGTAAAAAGTTTGTCATTAATCAAATGAGCTTTTCATAACATAATAATATAATTATAAAAAATAAATAATCAATTGCGATTTACTTGGCATATGAATACAGGTAAATCTTAATTAATTTATTTCAATTTACCATTAGTTTTCTTGATATTTATTCATAAACACAACTTACAATCTAAGCATTTTTAATCAAACTGAATATGTTCAATCGACATTTTCTCATCGCTTACTTTTAAAAACTGGAAATATGGTTTTTCTATCTGGGTGAATTTTTGCTATACATCAAAAAAAATTTATACCTCTTTTACAAATTCTAAATCAAACTCAATATATTCAAACGAAATTTTCCCATCGCTTACTTTTAAAAACAGGAAATATTGCTTTTTTTTATTTGGGTGGATTTTAAATAAATAAATAATAATAAAGTAACTCACAAAGAAAACCGACCATAAGTAGCTTCTAAATCAAACTGAATATAATAAATCGAAATTTTTCCATCGCTTACTTTTAAAAACTGGAAATATTGTTTTTCTATCTTAGTAGATTTTAAATAAATAAATAACAATAAAATTTCTCACAAAGAAAACACACCACAAGCAGCTTCTAAATCAAACTGAATATGAGCGATTAAAAAGTTATAATTGGCTACGTTTTAAAGCATGAGTAATTGCTTTTAAATCTGTTTTTGTTTGATAAACACAATTGTGCTTTCTGGTGACTCACCTGCACTTGCTGGGCCAATGTGCTGTTCAGATACTCCGCCGGCAACTCGCTGTCCGCCGGTCGAGAAGCGGACTTTCCGCCTCCTCCTCCGCTCGTCGGACGCTGGAGGGCAGCGAAGCAGCCGTCGCAGACGCGCACCTCCTTCTCGATTCCGTACTTGGGCAGCGGACACTGCTTGGCGGTGCACTGGCCACAGAAGACCTGGCCGCAGTTGCGGCAATGGTGCTTCCGGTTGGTGAAGGTGAACTCCACGCGACAGCGATGGCACACCCTGCCATCCGCCCAGTTGGGCGCCGTGTCCGCCGTGAACATGGCGTCCGCCTCTCGCAGCTCCGGGAAGGTGTGCCCCTTGGCCTTCAGGATGGTCATGGTATCCTGTAAAAAATATTATTATTAATGGTAAGTCTTTGGATTTAAGTGCGTCTACTAGGGATTCCTCCTCTAGGCTTAGTTCTTCCTCGGAGCTCATTTCGGTTCAACTGATGATATTTCACTGGCTTTCGGTTCAGACCAAACAGTTGTTTTCTACTAATTAAATTAGGGGTAAAAAAAGGTGGCGGATTTTTTGTTCAACGGGGTTTAAGGTGAGGCAAAGAAAACTTGTAGGTACTTTATATTGGGAATACCATGAATGTGTATTAAATAAGTAACTTTAAAAAAAGATGTAAAGAATAAATTACGTTTAAAAAAGTTTTAAAAAACTGTCTATAATAAGTAATTGCTAAAATAATGAAAACTTACAAAATTCTGTTATTTATAGAAATTTTTTTTAAGATTTAATAGGAAACTTAAATACATAGGAATTTAATGAGAAAGAGTTAATAAGGATAAAAATTAGAATACTGGTTTATAAAATCCTAGAAAACTCTAAAAAATAGAAAACTCTAGATATATCAGCATGTTTAGATGTATCTCATCTAATACCAAAGTCATAGCTTTGCACGGTTTCTATGGTATAAACTTCTATAAAAAATATAAATCTCTAGATATATTAGTATGTTTGATGATATATCTCATCTAACTTAAAGATTATAACTGCTTGAAGTTTATATATCCTGGTAAAACCTCATTGTTTTGGATGATTTCATTTCAGTTTATAGGAATTTAAATACATAGGAATCTAATTAGAACTAGTTGATAAAAATTACAATTAGAATACTGGCTTATAAAACCCTAGAAAATTCTAAAAAATAGAAATCTCTAGATATATCAGCATGTTTAGTAATATCTCATCTAATTTCAAAATTATAGTTGGTTGCAGTTTATATATCCTGGTAAAACCTCATAGTTTTGGATGATTTCAATGGAATATTCTTCTGTAAGGATCTAAATCCTACCTTGATGGCCTGGTATTTGTCCGAGGAGCGGAAGGCATTGGCCCATGTCTGGACCAGTTCGAGCATCTTCTGGCGGACGTTCTCGTGGGGCGTGGACTCCAGGAAGCTGCTGAACATCTCGCAGTTCTCCTTGGTGAAGACCTCCTCGTGAACGGGGGCTCCGCAGTTCTTGACGATGCTCTCGAGGACCAGAAGGGAATAGCAGGACGAGTGGGGATTCGGGGAGTTCATCTTCTTCTTAATGGCAGCAAAGGCATTCTTGGGACTGCAAATTATAGTTTATTAACCTTATATCTTCCAAATATTCTAAAAAAACTTACGTGACATCTTTCTGATTGATTTCATCGCAAATTAAGAGGATGGAGGGCCAGTCGGGCTCCAAACGCAGATGACTCGTGGCATTTTCTGGAAATTTGAAGTGCGTATTAGTCAACCTTTGTGCATTTATCACAATCTTCAACTTAAGAGTTCATTTGCCTTTTTTTATTAAATCTTGCAAGTTTTTTTTTGTTCTCTTTGGTTTTACGATGAGTCATTTTTACGGTTCAAATTTTGGCTTATTTTCATCGCTCTCGGGGCTTCTTACCTAAGTTTTTATCAAAGCTCGATCGAAACATGTTTGTTGTTCAATATTCGCTGCTTTTTGTCGTTATTTTTCTATTATTATTGGGCTAAAATTAAGCTGTTTTTTTATTATTGTTTTGCACTTAGCGTGACCGCTCCGATAACTGTAAAAAATACCAATTTAATTTTTCCGGTATGGCAGTCCTCAAGATTGCCACCCCGATAAAAAAGCTACTTTTGTATAGTTGCCAGATGGTCGATACAGCGACGAAATTATGAGTAATGAAAACTGACTAGAGTCGTTAACAAAATAACGGCTTTTTAAAAATTTAATAACTATATAGTTATTTTAAAACATTTAATACAATACAATAAATATCATAAAACGTTCCAGTGAAAATTTTTAACCAAGCAACTTGAAATGAAAGTGTAATACTATACAATAGAAACAACAACTTTTAGAAACTTAACCATAAAGCCAGATATGCAGGTGTTCTTTTTAAATTGAATTTCCAGCTATTTTAGTTTCTATTAAAAACAGAAAATCACCACGTTTATTTCGTTTCGTCAATTGGGTCTGTCTTACATAAATATAATTAATAAACCCATAATTGCAGCTGTTTTTTTCTTTTTAATTACTACTTCAGCTATTTTATTTTAGTTCCCAATTAAAAACAACACATCAGCTACTTAAACTTCTTGTTTATTTCGTTTGTTCATACAGGTCTCTCTTACAAAATAGGTTAACTAGACAAATAATTACACGTACAATAGATAAATGTTAGTTTAGCCATACATAAACAGTATAAAAACTATGATTCGCTATGCTTAGAGGTTGCCGCAACAGTTGGCATTGGCATATTGCAATGGTCCGTTGCATTTTTTTTTAAAGTATCACACGCCGGTATATAAAAAGTTGGGTTTACTTGCAACTAAGCGATATAAGTAACATAAAATCACATTCGATTCAAATTAAGCCGAATACTAAAAGCAAACGCACAATAGCCTTATTTAGTTCGTCTTGATCTTGTGCTTCAACGTAAAGTAGGACAGAACCTTGAAGATCGCTATTTGGATCAGGATCATAATGATGTTGTGGCCAAAGTCGCCGCCCTCCATTCCGAATTGTTGCAGAACAGTGACGGCATTTCTGAAAGAATTTAAAATTAATTATTATTACTTTAAAGGTAATATTTTCTTTAGCTTTTACTCACTTGAAGTGGCAATAGAACTCCGTGGGCGGGCAGATCAACTGTCCCCGCTGGTTTCCATATAGCGATATTACCATATTCTCCAAGGCGTATCGCAGTGGCGAAATATAGGCCATGAACCTCATGGCAGCCGGAATGTGATTCAGCAGAATGAGAAAGCCGGAGAACATCAGCATACAAGATGTCGAAACGGCTCCAACAAAAGTTCCATTCTAAATGGGGGATGTATCATGAAAAGGGGATCTAATATTTCTTTAAGGTTTTATTCACTTACCACAGGATTCAACACGGTGCCCAGGAAAACTCCCAAGCCATCCGCACAAATGGTCACCACCACTGCACTCAGAAGATATTTCACAAATCGATCCATTTCAACGGGCTGATCCGTCATCAGATATCCTATCGTTATATACACCGTCGAAAAGATAATCTAAAAGAAGGAAAATATATGAGTAATCTTAAGTTTTCTCATATAATATTTCATTTGTATAAAAATTTGGTAAAAATTAATTTTTTTTAATATGTAAAATAAGTATTTTTAGAAATGTTTTTTTTTTACGTGGAAATTTATTATTTGATATTTTATTCTTATATGAGGGGGTAAATTTGAACTGGTGAAAAGGGATTTTATGAAAAATGGTTTTTTATAGACTTACGTGAACTGGAGTGGAAGTTATGATGGTGGCAAGATAATAAGTTCGCAGTTTGTACCAGTTATTGAACGTTTCCTTTCTAATGATTTCTATTTCAGCGGGATCTGTAAAAATAAACTCTTCATATATAGGCCATTAAAAAACCTCCTACTATCTTTACTCACATCTCAAAATGCCCGGCATAATGGTGGTGTACCAGAGATATACGCAGTGGATCATGATCATGCCAACATTCGATATTTGCTTAGTGGCATTGCTGCCCGAATCGCCGAAGAACAAGCCGATCAATATGGAGCACAGTATGTGAATACCAAGCTTCAGATAGGTTAGAGTCTAAATAGGGGATTTAAATATAAAGTTAAATCTTCATAAGGAAAAAGTGATCTATTAACTCACCCAATCCCTGAAGAACTGCAAATGACAACGACCGATGAGCAACCAGAGTCGCGTAGATTCCGTGGGCGGATAGGTGTGTTTGGTCAGGTCCTTCGATGACTCCATGTTCTGGATTTCGATCTTCTGGACCTGCACCTTAACCTGCCCAGGTGCCGATTGAGATTCGTTGAACTTGGCCACCTGTGTTTCGCTGGGCGGATCGGCAGCCTCTCCTTGCATCAATTGCTGATCGTATCGCCACCGGTTGTCCTTGGCGGCTTCCGCCAGGGTCTCCGTCTGATCGCCGTAATCCCCATTCGCGCACTCCAGCACTGGAATAATTAACACCTTTAATGACACGCCTTACTCTCTTTTTTGTTTTGTTTTGATATTTATCAAGGGATCGATTTTGGAAGATGGATGCACAGGGAAAAATATCGTAAATAATTGGCTGCTAAAACTTTTGAAGAAATGAAGTTTAGTAGGTGTAAATAAAAAAATCCTAATATTTTGAAAATTGTATTAATTGTATTTTTAAGGGTAAACATTTTGATTTCTTTTAGAAAAAAATTAAAAAAAAATGGGTACTGGAATTATTTAAGAGGTTTCCAATATAAAATGTAAAATCGTTTTTTTATAGAACCAAATTTTGGAAAAAGAAAATTATTCAAACTTTTCTGTGATTATACATTTATCTATGGACTACATTTTTAAGATTTGTATTATTTTTTTAAGAAATTGGTATATTCCGTTGGTTCCAAATTTTTTTAGAAATGTTTCTTATACCATTTTTTTAGTCAAATATCAAACCAGAGTCAAAGGTAGTAATATGAAAAAATGTTAAATAAAAAGACAATTGCCATGAATTGAATCTGATAATGGTCAATTTAGAATGTATCATGCATTCAATTAGGTAGCCAGTGATTATGGGTAGGCTAAATAAGTGATTATGGTGGATTCGACAAGAAAAGGGAAAGGCTGAGAAACCGAATCACTCACGGAAGTCGGCGGGATTGTGGTAGGGCGGGCACTCCAGGGCGACGCTGCTGAGGAACATGACCGTGTTCTGGGGCGTGCCCTGGTAGGTGCATTGACCCGCGCTCAGGACGTAGATCAGGTTGAACAGATTGTAGATATTGGTCGACGGCTGGTGGATCGTGCACACGATGGTACGTCCCTCGTTAGCCAGACCGCGCAGCAGTTGGATGGTGTCGAAGGAGGAGGAGCTGTCCAATCCGCTGTGGGAGATCAAGGGAGTCAAGGGGTTCGGTTCAAGGTCGGAATGTGTCAATCTGGAAGCTGAGCTAAACTGGTTTCGAGGACAATGGACCTCTCACTCACGTTGTGGGCTCGTCTAAAAATAACACCGCTGGATTGTCTATCAGCTCCAGGGCGATGGACAGGCGCTTCTTCTGGCCGCCACTTAGGTTGGAGCACTTGGTCTGTCGCGCCTTCGTCAGCTTCAGCGAATTCAGCAAGTAGTCGATCTGTAAATCACACGTCAATTAATATTTTTTCCGTTAATGGTACACTTGGAAAATCTAAATTCGATTACTTTAAGTCTGTTCTTAAACAATTACCCTAAAAATAACTTTATATTTGTATTGCACAGAGAAAATTATCAAAAGTTTTACTTTTACTTTGCATTTTTAAAACTTTTTTATTTTTAAAACGTTTTTATATGAAAAGGGCACCTAAAACGTTGTATTATTTTCTCTGTGTGTATATGTTAAATGCATGAGATAATTAGTTTCTTTTTGGAAATTTGAAATAAAATTTTGAAACCTAAAATATTCAAAAAAGCTATGAAAACGGCACCTAAAACGTTGTATAATTTTCTCTGTGTGTAAATGTTAAATGCATGAGATAATTAGTTTCTTTTTGTAAATTTGAAATAATTTTGAAACCTAAAGTATTCAAAAAAGCTATTCCTTAAAAGGGCACAAGTTCTATAACTAATGCATAATTTTATTATGTTAGCTCAAGAGACATGCTAAGAAATTTCGTAAAATAAATTAAAATCAAGTTTTTTTTTAGTGTAGTTTACTCACCAGGGTTCTCTTTTCCTTCAAACTAACGCAGTTGTTCGAGATTTTAAGTGTTGCCGCCATCAACATGGTCTCCTCCACGGTGAAGTAGGGAAAGAAGTGATCATCCTGCATAATGTAGCCGCACAGCTTGCGGGCCTTTCCAATCTCTATTTTCCCACTGACACCAGTTTTCGTCAGACCCGTGAGGATGTTCATTAGACTAGATTTACCGGCCCCCGAAGGGCCCATAATGGCGGTCAATTCGCCCGACTTGAAGGTCCCCGTAATGCCCTTTAGCACCGATTTCTTTTCTGTGAATGTAAATTAAATGGGTGAATTAGTTGGGTAAGAACCCTAAAAAAATAATATTCTAATGATATCCCAAAAATATTAATCGGTATTTTAATTTTAAAAATAGTCACATTAACAGTAGAATTTAAAATACATACACAAAAGACTTTGGAACTACTTTTGTTATATTTCAATGGTAGCTAGTTCATTTTGTGTTACAACTTTAATGATCCTAAGTTCATTTCACTTTCAGGTTGCAATTACTGAACCTTAAACGAATTTCTCAACCTTCTCCCATATCAAATATTTCTCATATGCCAGGCAATTAAAAAGCATACAATAAGGTTAACAGGTAAGGAGCCATGAAAAAATAAACCGAGCTTTAAAATTAAAACCCTCATTAAATGTGCACACATCATAAAACAGAAGTAATATACATTTTGGATGGGTCAATCTAAAAAAATGATTACTTGTTCCACTTAAGACTCATGCGCAATCTTTTAATATGTTCCATTTGCGATAACTGTCTGCTCTATTGACTCTAGATTATCAAGGAATAACACCTGTGGTCCGGGATCTTTTCTTCCGGCACACTTTGAGTGCTAATAGAGATAGTCAATTTGCACTTGAAACTAGTACAAGTAGCTACTCGAGGGAAAAATGCTACTGTAGTTTAAATTGGAAGAATATATAGGTAAAAGTAATTTATTTTTATTTTAACTGCCTTGGGATACGTCATTCAAAATCTCATAATAATTTATGTTTTACTTATAAAAAAAAAAACTTATTAAAAAAATGTAAAATATAATTAAAAACATTTTTTTTTGGAGACCCGCCTTTTAAAATTTCTATTAGTTTCGATTCGAATTATAAAACATATTTTTAATGATATCACCGTATAACCGTCTTACCTTGCTTCTTGGGTACATTGACCTGGTAGAGGAGATCTTCGAAGTGAATGTCGATGCCGTAGACATTCTTCAACAATTTGCTGCTATCCATTTTGTGTGTGCTCGTATTATTCCCGTAGTGTTTACAAAACGTTCTTGCTGATTTATTTTGAATGCTTATCGAAATTTATTAGCTCAGCTTTGCGCTTGCTTTGCACATTATTTACACATAACAAATTCGGAGGAGAGCACTTTTAAATTGTTTTCGAAATGGCCTGAAACAACAGTATTATAATGGATTACAAACCATATCTGGGCAATGGTTTCGGGTTGCAATTTGTGCGGCTGTGGCTTGAATCAAAATTATGTCATCAGCCGGGTAACTTTTGTAATAAACTTAAAAGCCCTTACAGCGGCAATTAGAGCGCGTCTTGAACCGGATTGACCTCAAAGTTCGCCAACTGTCGAAACCGAAACCGACAACCGCCGAACCGTTACTAGGTTTTTTTGAACCTTTTTATTTTCACTTTTTATTTTCTGTTTTTAATGTTCTTTTTTTATTTTGAGTTTTTATTGCCTGGTTTTAATTTTCTTCAAGGAAAACTAAGAGAGGAAAACCTTTTTGAAAAACACTATCCGTTTGCGCATGCGCCCCCGTTGGCAGACAGCTGATAACTGCGGAAGAACTCGTCGCCGACTAAACACGATGGGGTCTCTGCCACTGCCCTCTGCTGACGTCGAAGCGGCAGCAGCAGCAGCTATAAAGCAAAATACTAAAGCAAGGCAAAAACAAATGTATAAAAATTATAATCAGGCAGAGCTAAGCACACTCGCATATCAAATACACAACTCGACAATGCAAAACGCGCCGGCAGAGTGGCGTTAAATTTCAAGTTTAAGTCACCTTTTACTCGTTTTGATTTTGATTTTGATTTTTGGGCCGCCGAGAACAACAGACAAATTGTTATTTCAATTTATGACTCAAGCGCAATCAACAAATCACTCACACCTGCGTGTGTATACATTCCTACAATTATGAAAAATAAAAACTATATAGCAACGGCCTTGCTTAAAAACCAGAACATCTAACAAAAATGTGTACACAAAAAGTTAGGTATAAATTTAAGTTCGAAATACCATTCTTGTGATTTGTTAAAATCCAGTTGTAAACAAAACGTGCAGGAAATTTGGCAGAAATTGGGGGAATTCGTTTTATTATTCAGGAAAAAGTCTATATAATTAGAATAAATATTTTAATAAATATATAAATTTAAGAAATATCCAAATCAATAAATGGAAATCCCATTAAGGGTTTTGCTCATTACATTTGTAATATATTTTTTTTTCACAATAATTTGTCAATAAATCGCTCCCACATCAAAGCGAAAATTCCAGATTTCATTTAAATGTACATCTCGCACTTCTCCACTTGCCAGTTTCAAAGAACTTCCGCAAATTATTCAATTAGTCATGGAACACGTAGTTTTAGTTCTAGGGAAAACACCCACTACGTGACTTTCGGTTTCTTTTAATAATATACCCATTACTGCTTGTAATGATCTCGGGAAATTTGCTGAATAAAACTCGCCCTACGAGTAAATATTAGGAACGGCTCTATTATTAGTATGCAAATAGTGTAAAGTTGGAATAATATATATTTTCCAGGGAATATTCTCACCTGAAATACTAATTTCCCATTTTCTGAGCTGATTCAGTGAATCAATATAATAAATATACCCCATTTTCGTAGGCTAGGGGATCAAATTTACCGCTACAAGTAGACAGAATAAATAGTGGTTCAAGAACACGAGCTTTATAATTTTAGCTTTCGGCGATTGCAACACCGCCAAATAGTAGCAACAGAGAATTATAAAACAGAAAATTACGAAATCCCATCAAAGAATGAAAACCGTTGAAAATGGTAAAGAAAAAAGAGAACGTTGCGCCGGTCAGTTCTTAGAACAAGAACTCGTTTGGCGACAACTGTAGAAAAAGTGAAACTGAATAGACTTGTAAAAGGAAGGAGAAGGAGCCGAGCAATTACAGTGGCCGCCCAAAAACGGCAACCTTTCTAATATAATAATATTTGTTTTTGATTCCTAATGGTTCTTAAAAAATATGAATTATAAAGTAATAAAATTGTGACTTTAAAATTAAGTTTTACTTTATTTCAAGGCCTGAAATCCATGATAACGGTTGCTTCATACAATTTTACAGTTACAATACTTTGAAGTTCTTCGTTTTTAAGATATTAAAAACCTAAATATTTTATCATGGCTATGAATTAAGGCCACACAGATAACATCTCCATAATTTCCATATTTTATGAGTAAAAACCTCCAAAACTAAATACCCCTATAAAACTGACCACTGTAATTGCCGGCTGACTTTGTAATTTTTTTCCCATTTTGCAAATCTTGCGCCATGGAATTCCTCCTTTGAATGGACAAAAGTCCGTCTCAAATTGGGGCTTTAGAATTTTATTACGTGACCGTTGATTTAATGGCTCAAGATTTTCGTACGCCACTTGGCTGCACACAAAACCTTCGGCGAGTAAACAAAAGTGATGAAAACAATACGCACGGAAGCAGTAAATAAATATTTTATATAGGTACAGTAGAAATGAGGTTATCATTATGATACACCACTTACTATATGGACAGCAGCTGTCCGAAGCTCCCATGGTTATCTATTCGCTTCGAAAAAATAATGTCAATTAATAATTGCGGCGGTGGCAGAGCTACCTTTGCCATTGAAGCCTCAACTGACCCGCAGGTTCGATAAAATTACAAATGCAGGCGACTATCAGACAAAACGGCAATAACAAATAATAATAACAATAATAATACCAACAACAACAGGGCGGCAGGTTGAAAACACAGACATGTCTTGGGAAGGCAAACACTTGTGCTCAGAACTCTGGAATGCCACTTGCTATCAATTAAAATAAATTGTAATAACATTGCCTTTGACTTTTCCACATTTGAATTGAGTCATTCTGGGCGAATCTCCCTATATGCTGCATAATGTACATATTCTGTATTTGGTTTAACACAAAATATGAATATTGTGGGGTTTTTATGGGAAGTTCATTTAAAAAATACCCTGTGGTTTTGGAAGTTTTTGTAGAAGAGAATAACCCCAGAATGTAGAAGATACTTTGCATTTAAAATATATAGTACGAAAATAAGTGCTTTTAAATGTGCGTTATCAAAAATCTAACATTTATCTTATCTTGAGTTAATAGTTGTGTTTTGTTATTGGGAAAGGTCTAAAAATTAATCAATTATCAATTTAATAGGCCAATTTTTGATAGCCAAAGAAGTTTCAAGGCCACTAACTAAGTAAAAAAATTTAACTTTTTCAATTTATATCCAAATTATATGTTCAGTAAATTTAAAAACTTTATCACCCTTACATTACCACTATAATTATTTTCAATGTAGAAAAAGGAAATTTGTTATTTACGAGTTTAAGGGCGAATTTGCAAATTCAGAAAACGAGTAATATTTTCAGTAATTAATACCCATCAATTTATATAATTTATTACTCTTTCAACAGTAAAAATAAGTACTGTTATGCATAAGGAATAAGGAATGCATTGCCAATTCCTTGGTTTACTGAATTTCTAATCTATTAACGTTCATGACTCAACCCACTAAGTGAAACTGTTTTTCAACTATAAAATTCGCAATCCAATCTACCCCACCAGCTTTTCTGTTCCGGGTGCCAGGAAAAACAGATGCCATGGCATAATAGTACGTTCTAATCTTCGACTTGCATAAACAAAACAAATCGTATAAACAAACCGGCAAGTGCTGAAAGAGAAATACTTTGCCCATCAATCGAGTGATTTGATTGCGGGATCGGTTCTGAAAAGTTCCTGAACCCGGTGCACGTGTATGAGATACGTTGATGATGATGATGAGCACTTGTGCAATACGAGTACTATTGCGGCACTCAGGTCCGTAAAAAACTAAATAACATAAATAATCGCATAACCTGATGCTATAACCGTCTACTATTCCTGCTATCAACCCTTTGTGATTTACCAGCCGGGTTTTGCATTCAATTAGCCGCTATAGCCGCTTACGTAACCGCCATATATGCAAATATATAGCGGCTCATTCATGCAGCGATCTCGACGATCACGAAGTTTACTTTAAGAAGACACTCGACACTTGGGCAATTATCGGCTGTCAAAACTTCAGGAAAGGTGTCAAGTTTTCATCGGTTCTGTCAGCAGATTTAGTAATACCTTTAGTAATACCTTTTGAAAGCTTGCAAGAAAATTATCTGAAGTATTGGACAATGAACCCTGTCGCAATAATGCCATCGGTGGCAAAATTGTTGAGCTACTGCACGCGCTAGTTTTACAACTTTAACAAGGTCTTCGGTAAATGGCCAATCTTAATCTTTTCCGGTCTTTCTTTTAATAGGTTTACTTTATATGGAAACTACATGTTCTTGTGGCAACATTGTTGCGAGATAATTGCAATAATTAAAGATATTATGTATTTTTAAATGAGAAAATCGATTCAGAACCGTTAAGATGCAAATTTGCAGCCTATCTAATAACTTCCTCATACTAGATCGTTAGAGGTTAGATAACCTCTCTAGGGAAAGCATTTAAGTCTTTGAACCAGCTAGCATTACGATTGAATTAAATTGACCTTTATTTCTTAGAACTTAAGATGATAACTTGCCCTATCGTCTAGACTTCTTCGAGGGGAACGCGCAAAAAATTCAACTGCCCCACATAGATAGGTCTTTTGGAAAAACAAACTTTTATTCGCTTGAAAAGATAACAGCGAGAAATTCAACACATTGCTAGACAAGAGAAGAATCAAACTGCGAGACACTGGGTGACGCTCATTCATGCTTTTATAATCCGCAAATAGAATTCTCCTGTCGCCCAGCTGAAGATACCGAACCACTTGGGGCACACTCTCTCACCCATGCCATATAGTATAGCCAATAGATATAACGAATAAAGTGGAGGCAAGGTTAGACGAAATCAAATTATGCTTTGGGCTACATTGTTGGCTCGTGATCATCTATTCCACTGATTAGAGGAATCCGAATTCAAGGCCGACCGGGCTGGAAACTGAAACTCGGATCGGATTGGATTGGATCGTTTGCCTTTTAATTCTATGGGGTTTTCATTTCCTTGGTGCACTTGGTTGTGGGACCGATAAGTCGTTTGTTTGCCCTAATAGATGATAAGGAGGGTCAGGCTTTTGCACAGCCGCACCCTCACGCCCCTTGACGCACACACATAAATAAATGCTCTATGTGTCATGTGCACAGAGAGAAAATAAGGGACATTTTAAAGTTGGAATTTTAAGAAAAATCCAACTTTTTTTTGTGATTCGAAGGTTGCTACAGAATAATATTTTTATAGAGAACTCTAATCACAGTAAATATAATATTTTATAAATATAATGTATATGCAATGATATTCTGTTTCAACTTAAAATCAACAAAACTGGCAAAGATAATCTTAATTAAAGAAAATTAATTTTAGCTTTCCTTTTCTTGAATCAAAAAATAAAAAACATAGTCCGATATCAACCAATTTTACCCCATATAATTTATATTGTTTTTTTTTCATTTGTATACAAAACACCAATTAATTATTTAAAGCCCAAATCTTCCTTAATAAGGACCAATTTTCGTTGGTATTTTTTTCTCTGCATGTGAAATGACTGACTTTGTTTGCACTTGTGTTTAGATTGGGGCGCGAACTTGAAGCCCCATGCAAAGCGGTGGGTATTGCATTACAAATTGTACTTTTCCACACCACCACACCACACACCACCCAAACCACCCGAGTGGAGCCTGCTGGCCCACATTCTGCGGCGGTGACAATGGCATCGTGGTGTCCGCGAGGGTGGGGCTATCTTGGCATTGGAACTATTTCGTTCTGGCCATGTCCATTTGGTCTGGTGACGGGTGATATCATCATCATCACAATTTGGCAGGGCACAATCGCTGACTAATAAAATGCAAATAAATACTCCAGTTTATTTGATCTAGACGCCCGCGAACGAGACCAAACATTTAGACGTAGTTAAAACGGGCGGCCCGCAGGGCGTATGCGTAATCCTTGTGGGTATAAGAATAATATAACGTAGCCGAGATGGATTCACTCGCGGTAAAAGATTTGCCGTTCGCACACCGAAATACACTCCATGTGAACTTTGATCTTTGAAGAATCGGCCGAGTATAAATCGTTATGCCTCATTTGTTGATGTGTGTCTGCGCTCTATTTTCTGTATGATTCCATTACAATAAGAACAAGACCCAGAAAACCGAGGCGAAGGCCCCCGAAATGCGGAGCACTGAGAACCGGGGAACGTGCCAAAAATTAAATAGAATGGGAAATAGAACACAGCTGGAAATTAAAGCAATTCCCCCCCATCAGAGTTCAATAAGGTTTGCATTTTCGATTTCGACTTTTGTGGCATAAATTTGAATGGATGGATACCAGGCTTTCCATTCGATTCGCGTGATATTTTGTACCTATTTTATTTTTTCGTTTTTGCTGACTCACACAAATTGCACTTGATTATATGAGAATTTTAAAATCTTGCGATCGCAAATAATATTTTTTTATATTCCAATTTGATGTTTCTATTGTATACTTTCTTCACACACACCGAAAAGCACAGCTGGCGTTTAATTGTTGCCGCGAGAAAAAAAACGAAGATTTATTTATAATTTCTGGGAATATGCAAAACTTTTGATTTGTAACACGCGCGTAGAAGAACCGACCATATACTATATATAGGAGGTATCTGTATATGCAAGAATATATATCGCTGTTTCTTTGCTCGGACGTGGGCAAAACGCTTCCGAATCGCTCGAATTGCGACGCGAGACTGAGGCGACTTTCAGACAGCGACTGGCTAAGTACAACGCGGGCCGCTCGAATAGTTTATTTTCCTGAAGCGTTTGGCCGGCGTCAGCGTGGAGGAACGGCATTTGGACGGAAGAGCGGGTCGCCGGCGCCCCTTTCGCAGGGCCCACTGTACCTAATGTTATTAATAAAAGCGGCCTCTCCGAGAGCTTCTTCGAGCCGAGGCCCCATTGTTTATGATATCCCGCGTGATTTGTGCGGCGAATTAAATTCGATTCTCAGTATTCTCTGGGATTGGGACAATGTGCAAAATGCATATCGCATTTTTGCGTTCTTCAAATACACTACCAGAAAGTTTCGTAAAAGTTATTAGATGATAGGGCCTATTAAAAAAGCCTATTTCGACTTTTGGCATTTTTTATGGTTTTTTAAAATGTTCTGTTTATGGATAAGAATTTTGTAACAAAAGTTTTGTTATTATATAGCTGAATGATCACTAAAATTGGGATAGAGAATTTAAAGAATGTAAAACTTAAATTTTAGAAATTTTAAAAATATGTTTTAAAATTCGAAATGTTTTTAAAAATTAAAAAAAAGTGTATAAGGTAGAATATAGTATAAGGCATAGTAGAACAGTATAAGGTTAGAATATATTTAGGGAAGAGTAAATCAAATTTGTCTATAAGAAAATCCTGTTCATTTTTTTTATTTCCGCAAGTCATAGGACTGCATCAATATTTTGCGTCGCAGCTTTAACTGGTAGCCAGTGGATCTATTATATTTTCTCTTTACCTCGGAACTATGATTAGATAATCACTGATAATTTGACATTTAAGGTCAAATTGTACCTTCCTCTTTCAAAAGGGAGCTGATCATCGATATGACACATGAACAGAAAATAGAGGCATACAACACAAATTGAACTTGAATATTTTTTTGCAATAGCTTAGCGGATTATCGCTTTCTAACCCTTTGTATTACAAGTGCTCTATCTATATACAAATATGGCGAAATGGTCAAAGTCCACATTCCTGACAATTTCTATGCATTTGTAGCTTGATAACTGGAAAAAGTGCTAGCGCATGCTGAGGAAGGGACTTAGCTATTAGTATAATATAATACTGAGGCGATATTCTCGTAACAATTAATACATAACCCTTTGGTGTGGGCGAAAGGGACCGTTGATTCCATAGAAAAATTCATCAAATTAACCCAAGACAAATTGTTTCACACCTCTAAGACCTGGACGTTAATTGCTAATGCAATGGATTAATAATAGACTTTTACAATTGACTGAAAATATTTGAAAAATTTTAAATCCCATGGGGATTAAACGTTGTCACACAATTATTGTCATTTGGCATATGGCATTTGCCGCCCATTCGATTACCCTTTTAATTAGACGATCTTATCGGGCTGAAAAGGGTTACATATCTGGGTCCGTCGTGATATACGACCCTATATTTGTAGAGCCCGCCCAGGGGAATACAGTTATTTGCACTTCAATAATAATGGAACGTAATAGGGACAGATACTCGTGCTTGTTGATTGTTATCGCTATGTTACATTTGGTATATATAGGCATACAGTGTGTTTCACCACCATAAGGCTCCTTATGTAGACCATGGAAAATATTTGTGAATGGTTGATTAATCCAGATTGGGTGCCACCGAAAAAAAGGAAGCTCTAATTGGTCATTAGGTTGAACCACAATTATTTATTTACATCTATTGATCCACTTTAACTTTAAATGGGCTTAGTTGTGTTTTCCTGTGATGCACTATTAGATTAATATTGAGCTGGATGCAATTAGTATATATACCTGTGTATTGATAACGTTATCGAAATAAATATTTTCCCTGAAACCCTCACTAATTGCGTTATACAAACAAATAGGTAATATTAATAAAGAAAATATTTGTTCTAAGATCTACTAGTAATTTTATAAAGTACTTGAAACCTTAGTAATTAACTGAAAGCTTATAATTGCTATTAAACATGCCTAAACATTTATTTGCACTCGAATTAAACACTAAAGCGTAATAATTTGCATCTGCTAATGAAATGGGGATCACACACGTTTTGCTCCGATAGCCTTTTTAATTAATTGTTAACCCATAAATATTATTATGACACATAGAATGGCGCGCTGTTCTGATTACCATTTTGATTGATGGCCCAAGATCTATTAGATAATTGAAATTGCTAATAGCCCAGCTCAATCGGGTTTTTGATTCGTGAAAGTTCTAACCAGCATATATTAATAAATCAATTGTTTTTTGGGATAAAATAAATGGGCAAACCTGTTGAAGCTCGAAGGCAGTAAAAAAAGTCTGTCTGCAGTCTAGACAATGTGCATATACTAAGTCCCTTTGGTACATTAAATATATACATTTAGCTGTGGTTATAGTTTATAGTGCGCCTTATCAACCAAAGGCAACCACAAATACAAATCGGCGTCTCTGTCAGCAGCAATTTCCCTGCGTGCTTTGATCCGACATGCGATCGTGATCGCGTTTGACATTGACATTGAAATCGAACATCGTACGCTGCGAATAGCGCATACAAACACGCTACGAATAACAAAAAACCAGCAGCAACACAGAAACCAGCAGCAACATCAAAAAGTACAACAGCAACATCAAAAACACAACAGCAATACCAGAAGCAGAAGTAGGAGAAACAGAAAAAGTAACTAAGGCAGCAAACCCATTCGTAACAGCAACTTCTACAGCAGCAACATCTACAGCAACAACAGCTACAGCAGCAACATGAGAGCCTACAGCAGCAGCAATAGTTAACTAGGAAAAACAAGCGACAAGATCAGAAGTTACAACACCTAAAGTACTAGAAGCAACCTCAACAGCAACCAAAATGCTAACAGCAATATTTAAATCATCTACCAAAGCAAACACACCAGCAACATCGGAGGCTACAACAGCAATATCACTATTATAAATGCCACCAGCAATTTATGAAATACAACCAGCAACATCAGAAGCTACAAACCTAACACAAAGTCTTCTCCCCATTGAAAAAAAAATATACTAATTTTGGAAACGACAACAACCGGCTGGCCTTCTTGGCCCACAAAAATCGAAATAAAGCAAATGTAGTAGCTACAAAATGCGACAGCATAAAAAGCTAACCGCCAAAAAAAGCTCGAGGGGAATGCCGCTGACCCCGCCAAGATCCCCCGCCCCTCGGCCCCTTCCGTTGTGTCTATAGATGATTATTATGGGTTGTAGTCGACGCTTTTGGGAGGCCTTTGGGGTATTGTTAGTGGGCTTTTGGGTGGGGGGATGCGAGAGACGTGTGCCCCGTCACGGTTGACTGAACTCAGCGCTCGACTCGCACACCTTAGATAAATTTCAATGAACTGCATCCTATAAAATCAAACGGTTTTACGGTAGCATTTAATGGAACGAAAGTTATTGAAAATAAAGAAAAGTGCTGAATTTAAATTACAACTTAGAAGATTTCATATGACTACCTATACTATTTGAAATAATTTAACAAATCTGCGAAGCTTCTTGCTATAGAATACAAATTAATTTTAAAACAATAAGCCGCTAACATAAACAACTTAAATAACAATTAGCAAGAACTCGTTCTTACCACTTTAAGTGGCTTAAAGCGTTAAAAACGGTGTTATAACGTAACTTTATTAATTAAATCTGTGTTTTTTTATCGCATCTCAACCACAACAACAAACCATAATAAATTGAATTATTGATGCCTGTGAAACGTCGATCAGGAAACCTAACGTTTGATAATTATAATTGAAGCAGAAATGTCCCAGAGTCGATAACTCGTGATGTCTTATAGATGTGACGTAGAAATCTGACATGAAAAGCAACTTAGTTGATAACAGGTTTGCAAATCTAACAACATTTGATGGGTTTATGGTTTTAATGGTTTTATGTATCCAGTTCTAGCTTAGTTAGGAACTTTCTTTTTACCTTATTCATTTACCTAATAAATTACGTTTCATAAAAAATATCCTAGGAATTTGTTTCTCCAATTAGCACCTTTGGTTTAAATTATAATTGGTAATCTATAAACGTAGGCAATTAGGCACATTAACATTTACCCATTAAGTCTGAGAAAGTCTATAGCCACTTATCTAAATCAATTGTGATTGGAATAAGATCAGAATTTGATGAATGCATTACGTGTATCTAATTGCAATTTTATTGACTGAATCGTACTGCAAGTCAGGTACCAAGATCTGACAACTGTTCTGGGCGGTCGTGGAGTACCGATTGCAATTTGACTGACTTTCAATATAAGTATAAATTCAATTCAATTTGCATGGCAGTCACGACGCTATGCAAATAGCCAGTTTTAAACTATTAGCCACAATTTCTGAATGAATCGTATGGGGAGTGCACTCACCTTTTTTTTTGCCCACCTCAACGCGATAGTAAAGGTCCTCGAAGATGATATTAAAAGGGCTGCAGACAGCGGACAGAAGCATTTTTTCCACCACAAGTTCCTGAGTTAAAATTTAAGTAGTTTAATCAAGGTGTGATATTCATTTAATGCTTAACTATAAGCTAATAATTAAAGACCTTCGGATGAGTGTAAAAAAGTTATTTCAGAATTTTAACCCGTAAAGATTTTAATTGCCCACGGTCGCACACACATTTTAAAGACCCTGTGCTACTAGGCGGAACCAACCGACTTAATATCAGTTATTAAATTAAGGAGACCCACTACGCCTCCGACTTAATTCGATTCACGTGTTGCTACTTTGTCATTGCCAGAAAGTTTAGTTGGAAGATCGAACAAACCCTATCGAATCGTTGTAAATTATAGGCAGTGTCGCACTTTACCTACCCGGATATATGATAGCAAATTGATAGATGCACACATTCTGTGCGCGGGTATTGATTTCAGGTTTAAAGTTTAGTCGTGACTTGCCATCGCAGCTGTGATAACAAAATTCCCCAAGAAGAACATAAGTGGGAAATTTTAGTTATTATTTTAATAACTATTTAACTAACTAACTATTGTTTATATATTTGT